AATTGCTTTAATTTTTGAAATGCACATAAGAAATTGGCTAAAAAATGGGCCGCATGGCACTACATATCCAGACAGGTTTTCTATGAGATGAGCATGTCAGCTGGGATCAATATTTTATGTTCATGTTATTCTCTAATCAGTGGCTATGTGACAACCTATCTATTCGCATTTATGCTCCTGTAATCACCTTTAAACTGCTACTTACTCTGGTTTTTGCAGTCATAAATCCTGGGAGAGAATTCTCCCCACATTTATTTCCTGTAGCTTCATTCTCCTATTGATTAATGTTAATTCTTTGGAACTCAATCTCAGATCCAGGCTGCTATCTGAGTTTTATTTATAAGTAATTAATAAAACAACATTTAATTTAATTTAATTAAAAAACCAAATTTACTTCATTTATTTTACTGAGAACTAAGTGACTTGAATCCATTGACTGAAGTTACACATTGCAGTAAGTCATTATTATTTAACCGAACGGGCAGTCTTCGACTTACAGTGACTGTTCAAACTGCACTGAAAAAAATGACTTATGACCATTGCCGCATCCCCAGGATCACGTGATTTACATTTGGATGCTTGACAACAGGTTCCTATTTATGACGGTTGCAATGTCCCATGATCCCCTTTTGCGACCTTCTGGCAAGCAAAGTCGATGGGAGAAACCAGATTCACTTAACGAACATGTGACTAACTGAACACCTGCATGATTCGCTTAACAACTCTAGCAAGAAAGATTGCAAAATGAGACAAAACTTAACAAGTATCTCACTCAACAACAGAAATTTTGGGCTCAACTGTGGTTTTAAGTTGAGCTCTATACGTATTTTATCAATTCATGTAAAGAACAGAAAAGTCAATGCAACATTGACTCAGCCTTCCCTCCTTCCAAGGTGGGTAAAATATGAGGACCCAGATTGTTGGGGGCAAGAGGCTGACTCTTTTAACTGCTTAGAGAGGGCTGAAAAGCACTATAAAGCGGTATATAAGTCTTAAATGCTATTGCTATCTGTACTTCAGTATCCTCAAAGATTGCTTGATACTCATTTATGAATGTCATTTGACTGCTGTCCTTGACAAATTTCCCTAAGGTAAGGAAATAGGCCAGAGTTCCTCTCTGTTTATTTGCTTCTGTTCTCTTTCTCAACAGATAAGCTAAGATGCTTTTCATCTGCACGTTCCTAGAGCTGGACTATTATCCCCTTCGCCCCCAAATTGCCTTTCAAAGAAACTCCAGCGGCTGTGTCTGAAACCCTTACAAAACGGTCGTGCAGGCTCTGTTTTACGTAAACCCAACATTAAAGTTGAATACTTACATTTTGCTACGATATATTTCCTGGCTGGTTGGGAACCGAGCTAAGAGGGGTCCAGCGCAATTTTGGTTATCCATTCTGACCATCACTGGTGCAGATGGGAGATCGCCTTTCATGTCAGAACATCTGGCTAACAAAGCCAGCTTGGTCATTAAATGGTGAGAGGTCTAGTCGGCCTCCAGGAGAAGAGAGAGAAGAGCTGCAGGAAATGGTGGCCCTGCACTTGCTCAGCCATGGTACATTTGAGGATATGAATAACGTCTTGTGTGAAACTTAGTGCCACGTTTCCAAGTGATGAAACCCATTTAGAAAAAGAAAAAATGGCAAAATTCATCCTCTAAAGCAAATTTCTTTTATTTAGGTAACTATCAAACTGGCAAAGTCTGTTGTAATTCCAGATTGCAGGGCTTTGAGATAGGAACTTGGGAGGAAATGCTAACTAGACACATGGATGCAACTCTACCACGGGTGTCAAACTTACCACATCGTGTTGCTGTCCTGTGACATTTTTCCCATTTGCAGAGCTGGGATGGGCATAGCATGTGCATGATACATCCGGCCCTCGGGCTGCTAGTTTGACACCTCTTAACTGTACGCATGAAAGAATGCTTATGAAAGTGTCTTATATCAGGGGATGTCCAGTCTTTTAAGACTATGGACTTTAATTCCCATGCCAGCCATGCTTTTTAGACTTTTAAGACCTGTGGATTTCAACTCCCAGAATTCCCCAGCCAGCCATTCTTTAAACTTTTAAGACCTGTGGACTTCAACTTTCTGAATTCCATAGCCAGCCAAGATGGGTGGGGAATTCTGGGAGTTGAAGCCCACAAGTCTTAAAGTTACCAAAGCTGGACTCCCCTGTTCTATATTGTAATAGGCTCCAGAAGCTGATTTAGATGCTATGCTTGGTTTGGCATCCTAAAATCCTCTAGTGGCTGCAATAAAACACTACTCATCTTGGAAGAAAAGTCTTGAATATACCTGGGCAATAGGACTATTTCCTTTTCCATCCTTGAAGGTTTAGCTTTCACTGTCAAATTGTTTAGGTTGAGGCAAGGGAGCGTCCACATTAGCAGGTAACATACAAAGAGATGGGGATGAGGCCAAGATGACCACTTAATAAACAATTTCCTTCCTAGGTTTTGATAAGTGGTGGGATACCAGGGAGCGAGCGACATGATGGCAGAAGGGACTGGACAGAAACTTGATTGCCTTAGGTTCCCCTGGCAACAACTAGAAAATTCTGCCTTCCTAAATAGAAGCTGAGTGTGGATATGGGGAGATCCCCAATCATCCAGTTTTGCTTTCTGTGAATCTATTAGCAAAATTATCCCGGCAACCTTATGTTCGATATAAAAGCCGTGTACGTCTACTATTAATTCCCAGATAAGTGCTGCAATGAACTACAACAAACTACACAGAAAAAATATAAAATTCCTAGCCTCTATTTCAGATTTTTTACATTTAACCAACTGGCCAGGTTGAGAAATGGGCTCATCTCGAGCCCTTTTACGTAGTTTCTTCAGACTCTTGCATAAGAGCCTGGTACAGAATTAAGTGTTTTTTGTGGATTCTCTTGTAACGAACCCTGATGATCTTAAACTTTTATTGCTGTGATGATTACCAGTAACTCAGATGAAGTGGATGCAGTACAAGCAGTCCTTGTCTTACGACTGCCAATGGGGCTGGATCTCCCCTATGTTATGGTTGTAAACTCGAGCACCCTCATGACTGCCGCAATTTACCTTTGTTTGCGGCGGTCATTGAATGAACTGGTTATTCAGCAAAGGCCCCACTCGTGTGAACCTAATCTTCTGAATGGCGGCGGTATTAGGATTCCGGCAGTTACCTCCATTTAAATCATAAGCCTCGAGCCAAACTTCCAAAACTTAAAAAGGATTTATTGAGAGTTAACATGTCCTGCACTGCCTGGGTGTAGCTGATTCTTGAGACACATCATTCGCCTTTTTTCTTTAGCCAGAAATCAGCAAAAATGCTTTCAAATCGTGGACACGTGACTGCCAGACACTGCAGCTGGTCACAAAGGAGAGTCAGTTGCCAAGGGTGCAAAATGCAGTTTTGTGACCAAAGGGAGTATCTGTGTGGGGCACAACACTTTATTATGACCTGGGGTGCGATTCAACCAGTGTAACAACCGTTTCTGTGAGTGTATGTGCAGAATGTTTGCCGCTGACCTTCTCCAGCAATCTGTGTGTGTGTTAAACAGCTGATGCGCAGCTGAGCTTGAAAACCAGGATATGAAGCACAGGCTAGAGCTGGGGCGAGCAGGTAGGCCCAACTGGTTCGCTCACAGCTGACCTTTGGAGCTACCGGTTTCATGCCTAAGGCGGGACTAGAACTCATTGACTGGTGATTGGTCCAAAGCAGGGGTGGGCAAACTTTTTGGCTCGGGGGCCTCATTGACTTTTAAAATTTGACAGATGGGCCGCCAACTGGTGTCAAAATGCCTGTCATTACAAGTCAAAATCAAATGAATGCAATCATTCACATCAAACCTTAATTCTGTACCAATCTTCGGCGGGCCGGATTAAAAAGACCAACGGGCCAGATGTGGCCCCCGGGCCGTAGTTTGCCCACCCCTGGTCCAAAGTCAGCTGGCTTTCATGCCTAAGGCAGGATTAGAATTCAGTTGACTGGTCATTGACTCAAAATCATCCAGCTGGCTTTTGTGCCTAAGGCGGGACTAGAACTCACAGCCAACTGGTGATTGGCCCAGTCATCCAGCTGGCTTTCGTGCCTAAGGCGGGACTAGAACTCATTCGACTGGTGATTGGCTCCAAATCAGCCAGCTTTCATGCCTAAGGCAGGATTAGAATTCAGTCAGCAAGTGATTGGCTCAAAGTCATCCAGCTGGCTTTTGTGCCTAAGGCGGGACTAGAACTCAGTTGACTAGTGTTTGGCCCACAGTCACTCAGCCAGCTTTCATGCCTAAAGCGGGATTAGAACTCACATTCACCTGGCTTCTAGCTTGGTGCCTTAATCATTACATTAAATGGGCAAAAAGAATTATTGCACTGAGAAATTTTAAACATGCCTGTCCATTTGAAAGTAAAATGCCTGCCCTTACTTTTTTGACAAGGCTTAACAAATGCTCAATAAGGATTGCATTATTCAGACAAATAAACAACAGTTTCAAATGCATTCTGTGGCCTCATTTTAATGTCCAGTTCATGTAAAACATCTGTACAAAGGATGAAACTGCACAATAGTCGCCACTCTTGAGTTCCCTTTGTTAAGCAACAGTCTCCGCTACATGTCACAATACATTCCATAACTTGCTACCATGCTTTCAGAAAACCATTAAATAATGGATTTTAAAAAATCATATGTATCTAAATCTGAATTTAAATGAATTGTACAGCCCACATAGTCCTACTAAATCATTTCTACTTTATATTAAGTGTTCCAGTTATTTTTTTTTCTTTTTATGACCCCGTAGTCCCTTAATTCAGGGTGGGATCAGGAAAACTGGATGTAGTGAGAATTTACTGGCCAGATGCTCTCCCGGTGCCTATGTGGAGTTCAGATATTATTTTTTTTATTTTGCACCCTAAGAGAGAAACATCTGCCGCCACCTAGGATCAAACTCTCAACCTTCCGAGTGGGAGGTAAATATCTGCACCCCTAGGCCACCATGCCACCCTTCTATTTCAAGATTTAAGAATAAATGGTTTTTATAGGTCGCCCAAGTCTACGATGGTTTTTAGTCGCTGACCTTGGTATCCTGCAAAAAATAAAGCGCTGGAAAAAAAAATTCCCTGGGAAGTTGAAAAGGACTACTTTTGCCGAATTATTCGTATATTTCAGCAAAAAGTGAATGTAGAATAGCTGCCTACCGCATCCTGTCTTTTAAAGACTTTATAAAGGCCAAGCTTTCTTTAAGCAGCAACGAAAACTTCTACGTTCAAAAACTTTTTCACTTGAAAAATCGGGGGGAAAAAAGCATGTTTGTGGCATTTTTATCCTTAACCAATTGCTTTTTTTTTTTTTAATAATTCTCTTGCGTTTAGATTTTAACTTTATTGTTTTGTACATGAATGTCACAAATACATTTCTGAAGGGTTTAATAATCACGTGCTTCATACTTTGCAAAAACAGTTCTTTACACCTGAGTTATAGACATCCTGTATCAGGGGGGTTGGAATTACAAAAAGATTGCCAGAATTGCTTATAGCATTCACCCCAAGAGTGGGCAGAATCAATATTTTGATCCTTCTTTCCTCCCCATTTTGGAGAGGTTTTCTATTCCACCAATTCTATTTTAGCCCTTAGAATTCCAGAAGTCTTAAAAAAAGAAAACCCTGAACATTGGCAAATGGCCTTCAAGGGGCGACACCCAAACTGAGTTGACACACACAACCTGGTGCGGCCCCTGCAACCTGAAATTTTTGTTTGCCTCCATTTGTAAGCTACGTAACTAGAGATGAGCGTGTAATATCACTGAATCTTCCACTTCAGCGTTTGACTTAATGGCTCACACAGTCCCGTTTATGAAACGAGAGACTCCACAGAACTCCGTTCCAAGGTATCCAACCTTGGCTGGCTGGGGAATTCTGGGAGTTGAAGTCCACGGGTCTTAAAGTTGCCAAGGTTGGACACACCCCTGTTCTACAGAAAAAAATGCCCATAGGCCTAGACTGGGAGACCTGATAGCTCCTCTTGCGACTTCCGCATCGTTGACACCCCTGGAAAACTTCAAATTTTCCTAGTTTCTATCATAACTCGAGTAGATCAATGGCATCTTTTTCTGTTGGCGAAAAAGCTGTCCTATCTCAAACTCGAGAGTCCAATAATTCCCCACCCTCCTAACACAGACCCCACGAAGGAGAAATTCCCCGATCTGCATCCAGAGGGGGGGGGGGGGAACAGGGACTCTTCAAGGTGCAGTCAATGCAAAAGCTTCCAAACTACACGAATGATTGTCGACGGACGAACCCAAACCAGTCATCCTTTTCCGTCTCTGCAAAAGCAGGGGGGAAAAAAAAAGCAACGTTCTTCTGAAAACCTCAACGTTTCAAGGGAGCCAGTCCCGAGATCTATCGGAAGCCGGATTCGTTTCAAGGGAAGGGGGTCGGGCTAATAGAAAGCACGGCCACTCTTTGCATCCTAGGAAGGGCTGGCAGAATATTGTTGTATTAAGTGCTCGTGGCAAAAATTGCACACCCGTTCCGGCTTGATGCTTGAGGGGAGAGGTAGTTCGTTGGCTGAGCAATCTTCACAGAAGACGCCTCCGCAGTTCTTGCAGGTGCTCTGAAGAGGGGAGAAATAGCAATGAAACAGGTGAGAATTCCAATCCACTCCACTGCAGGTAGTCCTCAGCTTATAGCCATTCGTTTAAACCACCATTCAAAGTTACCAATGGCACTGAAAAGAGGGTGTCAGGATTCCAGCACTTAACCCCATTTAAATCATGAGTCTCGAGCCAAACTTCCAAAACTTCAAAAGGATTTATTGGGAGTTAACATGCCGCCACTGCCTGGGTGTAGCCGACTCTGAGACACATAATTTACTGTCACCCTTGACCCTGGTTATCCCCCACCCACCCTGGGTGTATTGTAATTCATATTCTCCAATGGGACGCATCCATAGCCAAGAGTCATCAATCATACTCTCCAGCTAGAATTTTGCACGGCAGAAACTTCAGTCACCTAGAAACTATCTATGAAAACATTTATGGAATGCACTTTCGGTTTTGCAAGCTGCTGCACTGCTCCCCCCCCCACCCCTTTCTATTGGCAACCCTAAAAAGACCAGAGAGATATTTTATGAGTTGACATGGGGACTTCCAAACACGATCATTGCAGTTCTGACCAAGGTTTCCTGAAACCGTAACTAATCACACACTTAGTCCAAACAACCCTCTTTTTATTTCAACGGCTGGGAATTATGTTCATTCCCAGCCTGTAATGAGTCCCAAACAGTCTCTCGAGATAAGCACCCACCCTTTATCTCCTTTGAATTGCTGCCAACTACTAAAGTGCCAAATTAACTGTAAAAAGCCAAATGGAGTACAGTCCAAATAGAGCTTCAAGGTTTAATCCGAACAGAACGAACAAAGTTGCTTCCTGCAAAGGTTCCTGTCCCTTTGCTTTTCCTTATAACTTGAGGGGCCAATCATTTCCAAGCCTTACTCCTGAGTTGCCCCTTTTCTCTTAACTGTTCTTGCCTTCTGGCAGCTCTGCGCATGAGCGCACTGGATCAGGCTCCGCTTGTTCCTCTGCCTTGCTGCTGTCAGATTCTGGAGGCTCCGGAGTCAGCACATAACTCCCAGATGGCCCTGGCCCCATCTCTGTATTGGTCGCAGGTCCGAGTCGTCCCCAGACTTCCAGACTGGCCCATGTTCCTCCCCACTGTCCAACTCTGCTGCCATCTCCGTAGGCTGCCGGCGGACCACAACAATTGCAGCATATCAACCCCCCCAATGATCCAAACTTGGTTGCCTGGCAACCAGCATTTATTTACTATGTTTAAGACTTAGAATAACTTTATTATCACTCGGAATGCAGACTAGTCGGCATACATTAAAATGAAATTTTGTTGCATGCAGCTCTCATTTCGTTGCAGTGTCTCAGGGACATGTGACTGCTATTTGTGGGCTGTCCCAGCCAGCTTACAACAAACTAAGTCAATGGGGGGAAGCCGGATTCGTTTAATGACCACACGATTCACTTAACCACTGTAGTGATTTGCTTAACAGCTGCGGCAGAAAAGTTTGTAAAATGGGGCAAAACTCACTTAATAACTGTAAAAGTGAAGTCTTGTACTTAGGCAAGAGAAACCAAAAGATACACCTATAGACTGGGTGAAACTAGGCTTAACAGCAGTGAGAGGGAACTTGGAGTCTTAGTGGACAACCGGCTAACTATGAGCCAACAGTGTGCAGCGGCAACCAAAAAAGCTAATGCAATCCTAAATTGCAATTAACAGAGGGATACAATCAAGATCAAGAGAGGTACTAATACCACTCTATAAAGCCCTAGTAAGGCCACACCTAGAGTACTGCATCCAGTTTTGTTCACATTATAAAAAAGATGTTGAGACTCTAGAAAACGTACAGAGAAGAGCAACCAGGATGATTAAGGGACTGGAGACTAAAACATATGATGAACGGTTACAGGAACTGGGCCTGGCTAGTCTAGTGAAGAGAAGGACCAGGGCAGACAGGATAGCAGCCTTCTAATATTTGAGGGGCTGCCACAGAGAGGAGGTGGTCAGGCTATTCTCCAAAGCACCTGAAGGCCAGACAAGAAGCAAAGGGTGGAAACTGATCAAGCAGAGATTCAACCTGGAAATAAGGAGGAATTCTCTGACAGTGAGAACAATCAACCCATTGAACAAAAGTTGCTTTCAGAAGTTGTGGGAGATTCATCACTGGAGGCTTTCAGGAAGAGACTGGACTGCCATTTGTCGGAAATGGTGTAGGGTCTCCTGCTTGGGGGGGGGGGTTGGACTAAATGACCGTCAAGGTCCCAACTCTGTTAATCTAGTGTAATCTAAACTACCTTGCTTATCAGCAGAAATTTTAAGCTTCATTGTGGTCATTAAGTTGAGGACTTAATTAAGTTGAGGACCTTTAGGACAGAGGCAATAGTAGAGAAATTTCTCCGGGACTCATCCAGTTGGAATTTTGTAAATGATGGAGCCCGCAAGACGCCATCCCCGCCTGACTGTCATGTAATGGGATGAAGACAATTCCGTAGGGAGCCTTGGTAGGGCTTTAAAATAGTTTACCCAGTTAAAGAGGTGAGCAGAATTACCTTTCTTTTGCTCCGGGTACTTTCTTCTTGACAGAGCTGGCAGGGTTTGGATTTTTCAGAAGCTTGCTCCTAAAAAGCATTGAAAATACATCTTATTTATCCATATTTTGGGGTCATCCCTTCCATTCTTCCCATGAGAGAACAACCACTTGCCCTTAGCTAAAAAGCCTTTCCATTCAAGCGGGCAACATTCCCCCTTTCAGTTCTGCACTGGTCACATAAAAAAAAAACACCTTATAATAACTGAAGGACACAACGCAGCCAAAGGCCTTCAGTATAAGCCAATGATGGAGAACCTTTTTGTTGTGGTGTGCCAAAAGTGCACGCATGTGCCGGCACCCACAATGCGATGCGCGCCCCCCCTGTGCATGCGCACACAATACTCCCCCCACCGCCCCCTTATCTGCACTGCGCATGCCTCCCAGATGATTTTCAGCCCGTTTGAGGCCTTTTTTGGCCTCCCAGAGGCTCGAGGGAAGCCTCTGCAGCCTTTGGAGGCCAAAAAATGGGCCTGTTTTTCGGCCTCCAAATACCAGAAGTGACAAAAGCAGAAATGACAAAAAGGGCCCATTTTTCAGCCTCCGAAGGCTGCAGAGGCTTCCCTTGAGCCTCTGAGAGGCCAAAAAAGGCCTCAAACGGGCCGAAAACCAGTTGGGAGGCATGCGCATGCGCAGTGCAGGTAAGTTTGACTGGGGCTTGTATGCCCGCACAAATGGCTCTGCGTGCCAACTGTGGTATGCGTGCCATACATGTGCCATCACGGGTATAAGTCAAATTTTTAAACTCAAAACTTCCCAAAATACAGGTAGTCCTCGATGTACAACTATTTGTTAGATGACCATTCAAAGTTACGACGCCCACCCCCCCCAAAGCAACTTATGGCCGTTTTTCAGAGTTACAACCGTTGTAACGTCCCTATGATCGCAAGATCAAAATTCAGAAGCTTGGCAACCGGTTCATATTGATGATGATTGCAGTGTCCCAGGATTGTGGGATCCCCTTTTGCGACCTTCTGACAAGTGAAGTCAATGGGGAAGCCAGATTCACTTAACAACCGTGTCACTAACAACAATGGCAGTGATTCACTCAATAACAATAGTGAGAAAAGTCATAAAATAGGGTAAAACTCAATGAACAAATGTTTCACTTAATAGTGGAAAATTTTGGCTTAACTGTAGTTGTAAGGAAAGGAAAGGAAAGGAAAGGGAAGGGAAGGGAAGGGAAGGGAAGGGAAGGGAAGGGAAGGGAAAGGGAGAGGAAAGGAAAGGAAAGAAAGGAAAGGGAAAGGAAAGGAGAGGAAAGGAAAGGAAAGGAAAGGAAGGAAAGGAAAGGGAAGGGAAGGGAAAGGGAAGGGAAAGGAAAGGGAGAGGAAAGGAGAGGAATGGAAAGGAAAGGGAAGGAAAGGAAATGAAAGGAAAGAACCTTTGGGACATCATAACCACATTTACAGTGGCTGAAATTTCGAAGTTCAAACCACTCACTTGTTTTATTTTATACCTTTTTTCTTTAAAATGCATAAAAACTCAATATCTACATGAACAGTGTGTTATCTGGTACAATTAATTTTGAAAAATAATAATAGTAATAATATCACTAATATTCGTACCATTAATAGTAATCACATAATGATATTTGTTTATCCATACTAATAAAACCTTCATTATATAGTTGATCATTCTCTTAAATTTTTGAGTTTCTAACTTTCTGTTTCTATTATCTAACCATTGAAAAAAAAAACAAATCCCAGTTTCAGTGTTAATCTATCCATTTCTGTGCATTCTAATATTTTTTAATTACATTTTCATCTGTTGGGATCTAACTGGAAACCAGTCCAACTGTTGCAGGGAGGTGGATGGGTGGGAAAAATCCAGATCCTTTCCCAGAGTTAATAAAACCTGTTACTTACCTGCTCGTCTCGCAGGACAGGAAACACGCTGCAATATAAGATATTGATTTACTTCATCTCCATCTTGCAAAAACCAGGTATTAAATATGTGCTGATTTCCTGAATCATTATACAGGTGGTCCTTGACTCGTGACCGGTTGCTTAGCAACTGTTTGAAGTTATGACAAGACTACCCATGGCTTCTTACGATCCAGGTTCAAAGTTTTGACAGCCCCCTCCCTCCATCACAGGACTGCATTTTGGAGGGCTCAGGAACCCCCCTCATGACCATTTGCAATGTCCCAATCGTGTGACAGACCACATTTTACGGGGGGGCTTTTTTGTTGCTAGAAAGCAGTATTTACTTCAGGTTTCTGTCAAGAAACGGCTATTGCAAGACAATGGATTCAGTTAATGACTGCAATGTTGGCTTACCAACTGCCACAAAAAAGGTCGTAAAATTGGCCCTGGCTAAGACAACCAGCATAACTTATGACCATAATTCTGCCCTCAATTACAGTCATTAATTAAGATCTAGAATTAAAGAGGCCTCGCTAAAGAGTATCAGGCCATCCTGGTCTTCGTGGAATCTATTTAAACTGGAACAATACACTAAGAATGTTCTGTAGCAAACGTAAGATAAGGTTTCATATATATATATGAAAATGACTTATGACTTATAAGCGCCATCATTATGTCTGCTTGCTTAAGAAAAGCCAAAGCCTGTGATTTTGGATTTAATCCATACCTGCTTGAAAGCACTGTATTCTCTTTCACTGATGCTCTCGATTGGGAATCTCCTTCTAGGTGCCTGTCGCTTGAATCCTATCAAAGCAAGGAGTATATTGAAGAACCAAAACAGAATAACCCAAAACATTCTTTATTTTGAATATGATACCTAAAAACAAGGGGTGGCAACCTTTCATTACGGAATTATTTTTTTCATCACAGCAATGGCAATAGCGCTTAAGACTTATATACCTCTCTATAGTGCTCAAGCACACTCTCGGTTTACAAAGTCAGCCTATTGCTTCCAACAATCTGGGTCCTCATTTTACGGAGCTCAGAAGGCTGGAAGGCTGAGTCATATGACAGCAGTCTGAATCCCAGCCACAATTAAGGAACACTAACTCTAAGCATCCACTTTAAAAAGGAAGCAACATTAAGCCAGAGAGGTATAGAGCAACAAACAAGAATCATTACTATCTTTGATCCTGTCTTCTGGATGCCTTTGTTACGGCTGAACAAGCTTTTGTTATCTGGAACTCCGTGAGGCAAATGTGGCCACTGTTCCCGTTCTCGTCTCAATTCAGCTTCAAGCTGGCCTCTGGAGCAACAAAAGGAGAAAATATGTTAAATATAACACACACACACACACACACACACACACACACACACACGAAAAGGTTCCCATTCTTTCTTTTCAGAACTATCTTTTTTTTAAAATGACCATTTTAATTTGAACAATAATAGAAGAGTAATTGAACAAGGCCAGTACAAGACCAGCGAGTCTTAAAATCGATTTTGTTGTCCGTTTGACTTTATATCATCTCTCTGCTATTTGTCAATGACCCTGTGTCTTTTTGCAGGCTTCCAGTCAACCTAAAACAGACATAATGATGCTTTAAGGCAAGGATCTCCAAATTGGGCAGATTTAAGATTTGTGGACTTTAACTTCCTGGCTGGGGAATTCTGGGAGTTGAAGTCCACAAGTCCTAATTCTTAATCCAACACGCAGGTACCATATGTGTACAATTTTCACCAGGTTTCTGCCTGTTTTTGTGCAGCAATTTTAAAATCTAAGGACCCCAACCTCCAAAATGCAAAACTTCAAGGTTTATGGATTAAGCATGATTCAGCACTGAACAATTCCACTCCCATCTTCCACAAAATACAGTTACATTGATTGCCTTAGGTAGAAATCCAATATGCAACATGCTTACTTGAGAATAAATCCCACAGATTTTATTGAGGCCCCATGCTGGTAGACTGATAGATAAAGGACTATAATTATAACATTCTGCAATTTCATATTTAACTTCTGCTGTGGATTTATTTTACAACGTCCCCTGCAGTGTTCCATTGTAGTAAATTTCATACAACTGTATGTATTAGTTCGCTTAGTTCACTTTAATAGTATTTGTTTTTAATTTGCACTGTAAATAGCAGCAGATTATGATATTCATAATTCATAATTTGCATTGTAAATTGCAGCAGCAGATTATGATATTCAATTTATATAGGTCTTGAAACAAATAAAGCATTTAAAGAAATATTACTTTGAAGTACACAGAATCACTTTCCCCCCCCTGTAATCCCTTGCATCAGGGTAGAATTGAGGCCACCGAATGGAGCTCAAGCATTTACTGGCCGGATGCCCTTCCTAACACCTATGCAGAGTTCACAGCAGACAATAACTAACTGAGCCCAAAGACAGAAATATCTGCCTCTACCTCAGATCAAACTCACAGCCTCCCGATTGTGAGGCGAGAGCTCCACTGCTAGGCCACCATGCCGCTCTATGCAGGATCACTTTTAATGAGAAGTAAATGCACCCCAAAAGTATAATGTATATGCTTAATTTATTTCCATTTCATTTCCATTCTGATGAGTCCTCCAGCATTTACCGTCTTTGTCTGACCACCTCAGACAGTGGCACCCAGTGGGGTCCTCTACAGTTTGGTAGTTTGCTTACAGACGTTTCATCACCAAATTAGGTAATGTCATCAGTGCTGCGGCTGGGGTTTGTTCCCTATTTACATACAATAGATTGCCCTGCCAGTGTTGAGTGGTATATGGTTTCTCCTTGGTACTTCCTGGATTTGAGCCAAGCTCACAGAGCACCTAGTCCAGGGGTCGGCAACTTTAAAGACTCAAAGAGCCACAAAGGTCCAAACCGGAACCCCCCCATTCAATTCTGGAGCCAACCGGAAGTCTGGTTCCCCCACCATAGTGTCTCCTCCTCCTAGCGTAGCATCTTTTTCCTCTGCCAACCGGAAGTCTGGTTCCCCCACCATAGTGTCTCCTCCTAGCGTGACATCCTTTTCCCTCTATCCCCGTGATGGCGAACCTATGGCGCCTGTGCTGGAAGTGGCATACAGAGCCATCTCTGCGTGCCTGTGAGCCATCGCCCCAGCTCAGTTCCACTGCGCATGCATGTGTGCCTCTCACCAGCCACCTGATTTGCAGGTATCTGTCACGCATGGAGGGCAGGGTGCACGAGGGAGACGTGTGCATGCGCTGGGGGCAGGTGGAGTGGGGGGGCGCATGCATTGCATTATGGGTGCAGGCATACGTGCATGCTCTCTTGAATGCATGCACGCACTTTTGGTTTGCAACGACAAAAAGGTTAGCCGTCACTGATATTATCCTAACCTAAAGCTGTATCTATTGTGGAGCTGACTGGTGACAGGGAGCCGCAGCAGAGGGATGAAAGAGCCCCATGCGGCTCCAGAGCCGTAGGTTGCCGACCCCTGACCTAGTCCATCCAGATGGAAAACTCCCACCAACTAAAGATACCCAGAGGAAGGGAAACGGTTCTCTCTTCACCGCTGCTTCGTAAGTTGCTCCACTTCGTCTTGAAGGCTGTTGATCTTGTCCCCAAATTCCTCCTTGAAGAGCCGATTGTCCTCCTGCAGAGACTGGCACTCCCGCTCGGACAGCTGCAATCTGGGTATGAGCCATATGAACTTGTGATAAAAAACAAAAGCTATGGTAGGGGGGAAAGACCAAATTGAAACCATAAATAAAAGAAAAGGCGGAGTGAGAGATGGAGGGATGAGCGCGGGAGAACGAGGAGGAGGAGGGTGGGGACGAGAAACAAAATCTAACGGAGGACTAAAAAATAATAAAAAAATAAAAATGGCGGAGGTGAACCAGGCAGAAGGAGCGTCTCTTTTCCACTTTTTTTTATTCTATTACTACAGTTTACAGTCATTAGATGATAAACATAAAACATCACTTTTATTATCCATAGTCAAAAGCAAATCTCAAGTACAGAGTAATGTGAAAAGGTCTTGGTGGGTTCTTTGTTACGTTAACACGCAGCTTTATACAAATAACTGGAACTCGTGTCAAGGGGTACCTAGGTTATTAGTGTGTTTGCCTAGCCTCGTTCACAACCGTTACATTAAGGGAAGCGCGCAAAGGTTCCAGGCCGAAGGCAAAGTTGTGGGCGGTTCGTTTTAGGGCTCCCAGACTATTTCGGGGGCTGTTCAACAAGAAGAAAGGGGGGGGCAAAAGGATACTATCACAAGACACAAACTGATTTTTGGCTACTTGAATCCACCAACCGGGGGGGCAAATATTTAGGACGAAGGCGTCACTGGAGGGTAGTCAGGGAGAATGAATTGTTCTTCCAAAATAACGCCACCGCCAGCCTTTCCGCTTTTGAAACGGGTTCAAGAATTTGGTCAGCCAAGGGGCGCCATCGGCAAGGTAGGGGTCAACTCGCAAAGCTTTCCCGACCTGCTCCCGAGTTGCCATAGGCAGGGGGATGGGAAATCACGCCTCGCAGCTGCACCGAGGACTTCACGCCTCAGTCGAAACAAGATGCAGCCTAGCCGCCCGAAGCCAAGGCCATCTCTATGGAGACCCGCAACAGCTGGAGGGAGGCCCGCGAAATTGCTTCGTTGGGGAATGTGACTTGGGGGGAGGGGGGAAACAGGGCCAAAAGCATGGCGCGAATGGGATGAAGTCAGAGCTGGCTTCACTGAGTTCGTGCCAACATGGCGCCCCTAATAAACAATTGGATTTTTCTTGCACAATGGCTTGAGGCTCCTGATTTTATTAGGGCGTTGGTTGGAACCTTGACAGTAGGACTTCCCAATACAGTAGAACCTCTGGTCATGACCATAATTTGTTCCCTAACTTTGACGATTTTTTCGTCTTCTAATGTTTCGTCTTCAGGAATTTCTGGATCCAGGGTTGTGTTTGATCACCACCTAAGTACATCTTCGCGACCAGATTCAAAACTTTTGTGATATTTTTGGCCGGAACCCAATTTGGTCATGGTCAGAAGCATTTGTGACCAGAGGTTCTACTGCACTCATGAGGGGATTCTTAGGAAGTATCTCTGGGTGGAAAACAGAAAGGTCCGTCCCAGGTGGGCCACCTGTACATCCAAGCTGGCCTTTTGGTTACTGCAGAGGAACTTGAGGCGTTGGTTAGGGGGGCGTTAAAGAGGTGCCCGTTGGCTATCAAAGCTCAACCCTCGTCACAAGAGCCAGAGGCACAATTTCTACCGTAGAGAAATTGTGCGAAGATAATTTTCTCTGCTCCCACTGGAATCGAGCCGGCCCATGTGAGGATCGTCTCTCACAAAGCGAGTGAGGAACAACCTAGGAGTTAATTTTCAATAGGTTGCAAAAGCCAGAGGAAAATGGGCTACACAAAAGAAAAGGGCAACTAGCCTCTTTTATGGAGCAGAGAGGAGTATGGGATACAGGACAACATTATCTATCTAAGGCCTCTTCTTGCAATGTAGCGATGGCTGAAATTCTGTAGCTTCTAATTTTCTTCAATAATATTCACTTATCCAAAATTCTTGGTTGTTTTTTTATAAGTTAAGTGGTTTCAGTCCTGCCTGCGGAGTGAAGCCTGACAGCCGGCAAGCTAACATCTAATTTAAGGAATTGTTGCATTTTTCCTAGGAGCAAAGGATGACTTCAAAGGATATTTTAAATAAAATGGGTGCGTGTCCCAAATGCGTTTTTTTTTCAAGAGGCCACTGAGCTTTCTGATTTTTCTTTGAAGATGTTTTGCTTCTCATCCAAGAAGCTTCTTCAGCTCTGACTGGATGGTGGGGAATGGAAGGATTTATACTCCTTGCAGACAGCTGGTCGTTTGCATCCTTCTAGAGAGTCACTGAGGCCACGTGGAGGTTTTTTTGTGTCCTCCAAGTGGCCTCAAGGACCCTTTAAAGGGATGCAAATGACCAGCTGTCTGCAAGGAGTATAAATCCTTCCATTCCAGTCAGAGCTGAAGAAGCTTCTTGGATGAGATGTGAAACTTCTTCAAAGAAAAATCAGAAAGTCCAGTGGCCTCTTGAAAAAGCACCTTTGGAACAACCATGACCTGGATGACTGAGAATCTCCAGAGACAAATGGGTCTGTGGATTAAAAAAATATGAAGCGGTCTATCTGTATAATTGGCTAGGCGCTAACCTTGATTAATTTTGAAAAGCTTAGCAGATCTGCTCATCACATGGATGGAAAACTACCAGAGGTTATCAGGGTTATAAGCTTCCAGGTTATAAACATTCCAGAAGTTAAATGAAAACTGCTATTATACAACTGGTATTGCCAAAACTGTTGGTCATGATTGTGAAGTCAATCAGAATTGACTTTTACTAAAAGGAAATTTCACCTACCCTGTTTGGGAACAGTTAATTTCCCTTCTCTTGCAAAATTTCGAGGGTGTTTTTCCACCCCTAAATTTATTAACTGGTGATTATCAACCAGAAGACATGGCCAATGGTTTTATGAAAACTCGAATTATAATTCTAGGGCATTCTCACAACATTAACGATATCCCATTTAAGAGATTGTAATGAAAATACTAATACTTTTGGATAGGATTTGAACATGCCATCCCCAAATCATTTTTTTTTTCTAGGTTCAGAAAAATGAATGAATAAATAAATCTGACGGGTAATGTCGGACAGATTTATAAGCTACGAAGTGAATCAGATTTTACAGCCATATGGATTTTAAAATCAGGCTATAATATTTTTTTGTTTCCATCTTTTTTTTTATGCATGTTCCCATTTTCCTGGACCAAGCAAAGGTGGTTTATATAGGATGAAACTATTTTAATGCTAATGGGAATTTAGAAGAATACATCTTTTACACACGCACACCCCATTAAATAGGGATGTGTCCTAGGTTTATTCTTCCCCAAATCCTCCATCAATATAGCCCCAAGTATTTCTTAGAAATGCTGTAAAAACTTTTGGAGGGCACTTGGTTGAAGAACAATTATTAAAGATGAGGAAAAATAGTTTGGGTAGTTTGAGAAATGTTGATAATTCTCCACGCACTCGCTTACAATCACCTCAGATTTCATCAGAATTAGGAAAAGAAAAAAATACATGGTTGAGTTACAGCATGGTGCTTTAATAGACTTCTAAGGCTTAGATGCTCTTTCAGTACAAGTCCTAGCAAACCCCTTGTTTGATCAAGATCACTCTGAATCAAAAGCTAATAGCGGCCAGAGATAGCTTTAAACACAATGGCCAAATAACTTTTCGCTGTAGTTGCTTTTAGTCAAAGAGTGATCCGCAATAAAACACTACCAGTTCTGTTTATCCTTTTTTTATATATATTTATATATGAAAGGGACAATGATTCAGTTTTTTCTAAAAGAGTGAGGGGAAGGGAAGACACACGTATTATAAAAGTCAACCAGGAAATGAGAATCACTATATTTTTAGGGAGAAAAGGCAGAGGTAGAAGTCAATGCAAAGAAAAAGATGGGGTGACCAATTAGAAAAATAGCTAACAGCTAGATTTTGCATCCATGTCACCTAAAGGGGATAAATAAATCATTTCCCCTGTTATGAAAGCGGCCTGCATTGGCCGGTTATCTTAGCTTGTCCTCGGATTGCTAAAAAAAACATCTAGTTACAACTCTTGAGCAATGAAAATTGGTGTATTTTGCATCGTCTGAACTCGGGGAGGTGGGGGGGGGATGTCTTCTGCATATTCCTTAATACCCATCCGCCCACGGCTATACAGTCAAAACAAAAGGATTTTGGTCATTCCGACGGAAGGGCAGGTAGCCTTAAAGGGAAATTCTTGCAAAAGAGAGCAAGATGAGGGAATTGTTCTCAACTACAAGCCGAGCAAGAATGCAAGCAAGGGCGAGTCCAGATGGAGTTGACTCTATTCTCTCAAAATAATTTTCACCCGGCTTCAATTGGAAGGATTTTATTCCTAGGAATGGGAATATTTTTGCAGGCCACCACCACCCTTCAACCTTTCTAATCAATTTCACTTTACAAAACATCCCGAGTCAAGGCTCAGGTAGAAAAGCCTTTGGTTAATAAGGGCCAAATGTTCCTAAAAGCAACTTCTAACCCCGGTGTTTGTCTTTCCTGCTTATGACCCAGGGGAGACACCACATCTATAAAAAACGTGGTTTCCTACAGGCTCCCAAACTTCTCTGCCTGTTTTTTTTTTTGTTTTTTTCCCCCCCATCTACTTCACAACAGGGAAACCAAGAATTTCTTCCTTTGAAGTTGAACATTTTGGGGTGAGGCTGGAACATGGCTCTATTTTTCTACATCATGTTGTAAAGGCTAAAAAAGAAAAAAAAAATTGTGTGGTATACAATTGCATGTATATAGTCACAAATCTGATTTTATCTTATTTTCTTTCTGGAGTACTCGCTGATCAAATTGCTCCTATTTTAATAAAGTTTGTAAGCGTTAACAGTGGGGGAAAGGAAAGCCAGAAGTTAATTTTTCTATTTCCGAATAAAACCTTTAAAAAGAAAAAAGTCCCATCAAATTCCACTTTTCAACTTTTGTGACAACACGTAATTCTGACATCTAAATTCTCAATTTTTGTTTTTGCTCTTCGCTCATAAGGGAGCTCGGATGTCAGAGTTGCGGTGTGATCGGCTGCAAAAATTAAAATGTCTAGTGAGGCTTCTGAATTAATTTGTTTGCTGCGCTATTTAAGGTTTTTGCCTGTTTCACCAAATCTTTTTCGCTGTAAGGAGGGGGGGAGAAATAAAAATGATACGTGGAAAAGGGAGTTGGAGTAGAGAAAATATGCAATAAAAAAAAAAACCAGTTAATCCAGCAGATATCAGTGGTTATATATTACAGTACTTTAAATAAGCACAGCTTAAATATAATTCAAACTTGATCTTCATTTCCTAAGAAGAAGGCACATTAGTACATATCTTACATAAAGTTACATATTTTCAAAGTTGAGGAATGATGTACAGGTTTCAGAATCTTTTAGTTGTCCTTGGTTTCCAACATTTTTGTTTAATGACGATTTGAAATTACAATGGCACTAGAAAAAATGACTTACGATCGTTTCTCATACATGACCACTGCAGCATCCCTGTATTCACATGATCAAAATTCAGACACTTGATAACTAGTTCATATTTATGACGGTTGCAGTGTCCCATGATCCCCTTTTGCGACCTTCTGACAAGCAGTCAATGGGGAAAGCCAGATTCACTCAACAACCGGATTACCAATTTAACAAGTGCAGTGATTCTGTCATGCCCCTGGTGGAGACTGACTCTGAGGGAGAGGAGGAACAGCCGCTAGGGAGTGGAAGGGTGGCTCCGGAGGTTGTGGAGGAGGCTGGGGAAGGGCAGAGGCCGGCTGGGCAGTCAGAGGAAGACCCAGGCCCATCCCCTCTCCATCCTAGGGCGTGCAGGGAGGAGAGGATAAGGGAGAGATGTGAATGGTGTGGTCTACAGGGGAGGAAAGGGCCTTGATCCTCTTCATGGGCTGCAGCTGTGAGAACTGGTTAAAAGGATGGACATGCGTATGGGCCAGTGCTGGAAACAAAGTGTGGAAATATCTCCAGTTTGTCATTCCTCTCTGAGTTTGGCGTCCTTCCCAGTGTGTGTTCCGATATCGGTGGACGTCTTCAAGCCCTTATCTTGCCTGGTTCCCTTAATTGTTTCAGTGTGGTTTGTGTTGTTTTTACTCTTTATAATTTATAAGCATTTTTAGTTTAAACGGCATTTCCTCCTTTTCGTAACTGCTTGTGGGGGAGTTTTTTGTCTCCAGTCCAGGATATTTGGAGCTCTGAAGGAAAGTGAAGGAATAAAAGGGGCTTCACCTGTTTTCGTGATTGTGTTTATTTTGTATCCCACCCTGGGTCATCACAGATTCACTGAACAACTCTGGCAATAAAGATTGTAAAAACAGGGCAAAACTCACTTAACAAATGTCTCACTTAGCAACAGAAGTTTTGGGCTCAGTTGTGGTCGTACTTCAAGGACTAACTGAACTGTCAAATGTTTTCTCGAATTGCAGGCATTTAATTTATGTGGTCCAACTCAGAGATCTCATTAAGCCACAATGTGATATGCTTAACATGTCACACCACCCAACCATCATGGACTGCAAATGATGGTTATGGCCTGCCAATGACGGTTATGGCCTGCCACGGTGTGTGATGCCAACTATTGGCGGAATATTGAACAAACCTCATTATGCATCCATTTCATAGCACATTACTTATCAACTAGATTTCAGTTTATAAAGAAACGGAGAATGTACAGTTACATCCTGATTTTTCCAATTTTACACTGAATTATCAATCTCAGTTGCCAAAACTTACTGTGCACATAAGATTTAAGAGGAATATATTTGTAATTGATTATTCTGGGGTATTTAAATGAAGAACTCAGAACCTGACCTTTATTGGCAAGTAATTTTATTGATAGTGCTCCCCTTTAAATACTATCATTAAATCAGAATGGCTCAGACTAGCCTGTGTCATGTCTGGAGGTGGTCAGATTAAGAGGATTATATTTTTTAATTAGAACTACCCTGTGTCTTCAAATAGATTGACATTGATCAGCAATGGCTGAAAATGTTAGGAACTGTAATGCTGGTATATTTGGAAATGTATCAGTAGTCCTCAGCTTATGACCACAATTGAGCCCAAAATTTCCACAGTTAAGCAAGGCAGTTGTTAAGTGAATTTTGCCCCCTTTTACAACTTTTCTTGCCAGTTGTTAAGTGAACCACTCCAGTGGTTCAGTTAGTAACACAGTTGTTAAGTGAATCTGGCTTCCTCATTGACTTTGCTTGTCAGAAGGTCACAAAAGGGGATCACATGACCCCAGGACACTGCAACTGTCATAAATGTGAGTCAGTTGCCAAGCGCCTGAATTTTGATCACATGACCACCGATACGCTGCAATGGTTGTAAGTGTGAAAAACGGTCATGTCACCTTTTTCAGTGCTTGTAATTTCAAATGGTCACTAAACATACTGTTGTAAGGTGAGGACTACCTGTATTTAGTTATAGAGTGGCCATACAGTATGTACATTAAAGTCCTGACTGCCATTCTACTATTGGTTTTTGCAGATGCTGCTTAAAACTCTGTTAAACCCCAAGCAAAGAATCAGGACAGAATTCAGTAGCAACACAATTGTTTCCGCTTATGGGTGAATCCCATCCTTGAGAAACCCTGCAGAATTTTTCCTTCTCTGGGAAAAATGAACATGTCATATGTGGGAGACAAACGAGAGGGTACCTGTAGATGGCAGTAGAGAGCTACAAAACCATACAGCTCTTTGCTGCCATCTAAAGCTGCGGTGGATTGCTGCAGAACCCAAATGATCTACATACAAGCAGGCATATCTCAGAACCGGAGGTAGACAAGTCAGAAAACTTGACTTTGGAGACGGAGCTCAAATTTGAAAATCAAACACATATTCACGTTGCCCGAACCCGGGAAGCAGGAAAACCGTTTCATTTTCAGATCCGAGGTTTCCCTGAGGTGTTAAGCTCAAGGCAAAACTCACAACTCAGGGTAGAACTCAATGCAGCCAGAAAACTTGACTTTGGAGACAGAGCTCAAATTTGAAAAACAAACACATATTCATATTCCCTGGGAATTCTGTTTGGGATTTAGAATTCTGGGGGAAAACTGGCCTGAAATTGTATCAGTGCTATTATATAACACGCAGGTCAATATTTCCCATTTTTTCCTGCAGCAGACTAATTATAAGGTACTTGCAAGAAACAAGTTTAGAAAGCCTCTGTTTTCATGTAACCCAATGAATGAAAGGATGAATATATATTTTAGCTTCCTTGGATAAGATGGTTTCAAGTTTACCTCTGTTCAAGCAGTTTAATTGTAGCGGCCATTTGGCTGGTCTTTTCCTCCAAGCGGCTATTCAGCTCACTCTTCTGTTTCATTCCCAGGTCTGAACTCTAAAAAAAAAAAAACAAAGACAGCAATCACTATACTTACTTATCTTTAAAGATTATGAGGTCACATTTAATATATGCGCAACGATCACCATGTGCAAACTATTTGGCATGCATTTATTCGGCAGTGCGGTAGGCCCACTTCATCTGATTTAATGCCTCAAGATGTAATTGGTTGACATGCCCTTTAATTCCCAGGCCAACTGGTATGGAAGGCTGGCAAAAGCTAATATAAACACTGGCACTGTGGCAGCGTGAAGTAAACAAAAGGAGAAAAGACATTTATGAGCTGCGGTGGTGCAGTGGTTAGAGTGCAGTAATCTAGGCTACTTCTTGCGGACTGCCGTCTGCCTGCAATTTTGCAGTTCGATCCTCACCAGGCTCAAGGTTGACTCAGCCTTCCATCCTTCCCAAGTGGGTAAAATGAGGAGCCAGATTGTTGGGGGCAAAAGGCTGACTTTGTAAACAGCTTAGAGGGGGCTGTAAAGCACCGTGAAACGGTATATAAGTCTAAGTGCTTTTGCTATTCTGCAAAACTATTTCAAATCACATAAGGTAGAGGAATACCGCAGCAATTGCATAGTCCCGGATAAACATACAGAGGGGGTACTCAGCAGGTTCTGACCAGTTCTGGAAAACCGGTAGCGGAAATTTTGAGTAGTTCCGAGAACCGGTAGTGGAAATTCTGAGTAGTTCGGAGAACCGGTAGCAGAAATTGTGAGTAGCTCAGAATACCACCTCTGACTGGCTCCATCCCCATCTATTCTCTGCCTCCCACTGAGTCCCAGCTGATCGGCTGGGTCTTCTTTTGTTGCCCTGCCCAGGAGAATTGAGCTGGAAAGCAGGTTAGCAGGGTGAGGAGAGAATGGGGATTTTATAGTATCCTTCCCCTGGAGTGGGGTAGGAGTAGAGATTTTATAGTATCCTTCCCCTGCCACACCTACCAAGCCACACCATGCCCACCAAGCCAGGCCCACAGAACCGGTAGAAAAAATATTGAATCCCACTACTGTAAACATGGTTAACAATAGTTTATACTGTACATAAAATACACATGCTTGAAAATTGTTGGCTTGCCTAAGCAACAATTACTTATATTTATATGGATGGTAAATCTTTACTTTTCCTTCAGATGTTGTTAACATTCCACTGGCTGTTCAAAACTAACTTCTCATGTCCAGACAATTACAAGAATTCCTTTCAATCAGGGTTTCTCACTCTTAGCAGCTTTAAGAGGAGTGGACTTCAATTCCCAGAATTCCCCAGCCAATTCTGGGAATTAAAGTCCACACTTTTTAAAGTTGCTGAGGTTGAGAAACATTGCTTTAGATCAGGGGTGTCCAACCATGGCAACTTTAAGGTGTGTGGACTTCAACTCCCAGAATTCCCCAGCCAGCATGTGCTGGCTGGGGAATTCTGGGAGTTGAAATCCACACACCTTAAAGTTGCCAAGGTTGGACACCCCTGCTTTAGATCAAGGGTATCAAACCTGATCGCATTGTGGGCTGTATCGTGATGTATTGCCCTTACAGAGCCAGGGTGGGCGTAGCCCACGCAGGCCATAACCAGCCCATGGGTCGCGTGGTTGACACCCTTGCTTTAGATCATGAAAACCAGTCAAACCTTTAATGAGACTGTTATCAGGGGTGGGATTCTACCAGTTCACACCTATTCGCTAGAACCAGTTAACATTCTAAGCAGTTCAGAGAACCGGTTGTTAGAAGAAATTACTGGCCTAATCCTGTAAGGAAGGCAGGAAGTAAATATTCTGGTGTTACTTACAGAAACTGCCTCTCCACTAACCCTTATTACATTGTTGGCAGGACTAGACTTCCTGTCTCAGGAACTTCTCTGGAGGTTTTTCCCCCTCCTTTGCTGGTACTTTGCTTGTGTGGAGTGACCATTCAAAGTTACAATGGCACTGAAAAAAGTGACTTATGACTATTTTTCACACTTACGACTGTTGCAGCATCCCCATAGTCATGAGACGCCAGGTGAGGAGATGCGTGCCTCAATGTGAGTGATATTGAGTTGGCAACGCCCAACCAATCACATGACCACCAAGCCATGCCCACCCAGTCACATGACCACCAAGCCACGCCCAGCAACTAAGCCACGCCTACAGAACCGGTTGTTAAAAAATTTGAATCCCACCCCTGGCTGTTATGATATGTATAGAATAACCCTTGAGTAACAAGGATATGCACATGGAAACGTTTATGAGAATAGTTATGAATAATTATTCAGTAATACACAGATACACTAAATTGAATTAAAATTTACTTTAAGAAATAGCACAGTCCAATAAATGGTCCAGGTCATATACATTTTACAGTACAAAGAATATCCAATTACAAAGTCTTCTTACCGGTTGCCTTTGTCATTTACAGCAAACAACGATATCAAAGTATAAGCACAGCAAAAATACAACATAGTCTCAGAGTCAAACTGAGATAGCAACAGAATGTCAGAGATACCGAATGTCAGAGAGAGCAAGCCATGATTTCTAGCTCCCTCTTACGTCAATTCGCAATACAATCAACCAATGGGAATCAATACAGTGATTTTGTCTTTAAGCTACAAACATACATTGTTGGTTTATATATTGCCAACCCAACTAATTGTTGGGCAGATTCCTAACAATGGCCGATGATTATTTTGCAAAATGTGCCATTAGTCATATTGGTTTCAGACGACAGAAGGAAACCATCGAACACGCATGAGGAACATCCCCCTTTTTTTTTCTTTCCAGCAACGAGGGAGAAAGCGCCATTTACAAGGCAGACAGCCTACAAACTCTCTCGGCCTCAACCCAGGATTAAGGAAGTGTTTACTTCATGTTTAGTCCAGCCCTCTGTGGAGAAACTACGGAAATTCTTCTGTATCTAAGGAACCGTCTTACTCCACTGGGATTAGGCTGCTCCATATTCTTTACTCACATCAACGGAAAGAAAGAGGAAAGAGTCATAGTGTCATGGAAAAAGCTTTTAAACTAAGCCATCTTATAAATGGTGGGATTCTACCAGTTTCCCTACCGGTTTGGTGATCGCACACTTCGTGCATGCATGCACCTAAAGCAAGCGCGCAGCTTTCCAAACACCAGCTGAGGCTCTGCCAATCAGCTGAGAGGATGAAGAACAGAAAAGTGCATGCAGTGACGGGTGGGAGGGCTGATCCTGCACTTTTCTCTTCTTTCTCCTCTCAGCTGATCGCCTGAACCGAGTCGAACCAGTAGCATTTCACCAAACCCTTCATTTTCCCCCAAACGAAAGCGAAGAGGATGAGGCGGGGCCTTGCAAATTAACCTGCTGGTTTACCTGCAGCTTGAAAGAAAGTTCAAGTTTTAGGGCCCTGAGATCATCCAGTTGTTGTCTGAGTACCACAAGCGCATCCTGCTTCTCGCAAACGTCCTTCTCCAGCATCTTCATAGCCAGCTCCATCTCTTGTCTCATTCCGATCTGCATTTCCAGCTCTTTCTCCACGTCCTGAAAGCAAGGAACGCGCATACAGAAGTTACAGGTGAGAGTCTGAAGGTCTGAAAGACTCTTCCCCCCCTCCCCCGCATAAGAAATCACTACAAATGGTAGCAACGGGTAAAGCGTGAGCTTTTCCATTCCTGCAGAAAATGGAAGAACGTATGAATTCTCTATGCTGATTCTGAGGGGAAAGGTTGGCTCGCTGCAAGGGAAGTCAGAGCAGAGTCTTTTCCGACACTAACAATCATAAAAGGTATTATGACATGAACATACCGGGGCATGGAAACAACATTTAAAACTGAGAGAGAGGATTCTGGCATGTAAACAGCTTCACGCCTTAGTAAATGGAGTCATGTTTACAAGCAGTTCACACCTTTTCGCAAGCTGTTCACATTTTCTGAGGTATTTTCTTTGTAAAGGCGTTTGATGTGAAAAAATGATGTTCAGCTCTTTTCCTGATATTTGAATCATTCTGAACCTTTGGGGTGTGCATGTGCATGCGTGTGTGCACACATATACATGTATATGCATATACTTACATGCATACACATACACGCATACACACACACATGGAAAAGCAACAAGGTAGTATCTGTCTGTCTATCTATCTATCTATCTATCTATCTATCTATCTATCTATCCATCCATCCATCTATTGATCTATATCTATCTGTCCATCCATCTCTCTCTCTCTCTGTCTGTCTATCTATCTATTGATCTATATCTATCTGTCCATCCATCTCTATGTCTCTCTCTCTCTATCTACTGATCTATATCTATGTCCATCCATCTATGTCTCTCTCTCTCTCTCTCTCTCTCTCTCTCTATCTCTATTTACCTATCTATATCTATCCATTCATCCATTCATCCATCCATCCATCCATCCATCCATCCATCCATCCATCCATATCTCTCTCTCTCTCTCTCCCTCCCCATCCCATCCCATCCATCCATCCATCCATCTCTATTTATCTATCTCTATTTATCTATCTATCTACCCATCCATCCATCTCCTTGTTGCTCTTCCAACCCCCCCCCCCTTGCAGACTTGCTTTTTGGGGGGGTGGGGGCGGTTTGTCGGAAAATCAGAACACTCATAAGTACATTTTGGAGGGTGGGAGTCTGTTGTAACTTTGAACGGTCACTAAGTGACCAGTTTTAAGTTGTGTACTACTTCTATCTATTGTGACACCTTTGGCCTGGTAGATAAATGGGACCTGACCACATTTGTCCTGTTCTCTGAGAACAGATCAGCAGATCATGGGATTGTTTTTCTAATAACTGGGCAAAACGTCAAAACCAGAAAATGGACACTGTGATCTTTGTCAAACTGACAAATTCCAAATTCCAGGACCGCTGTACGCTGACTATGTTGGAGTGAACTATGCTGGGGTGAACTTACAAGGAGTTGTAATTCTGCCCTAACTAACCCCCTTACCAGTCTTAACTGCGTTTCCTCTTTTAGCTGCTTCCTGGCTTCGGTGAGGGCATGCCCGTCTGCAGTTCGATCCTGCTTATTTACCTATAATTAAGATGTCAATAAAGCAAACAGAATGGAAAGAGGAAGAGTAACAGAGATGACGTCCAGAATCACTTGATAATGAAATGAACAGCATGTACATTTAATAAATAAATCATAAATAATTGATGGAGATTAGCGCTGTCTCTTCTAAGTATGAAGTTAATAATTGTTCTGTCCCGCAGTACAATGTACTGGCTGAGGAAAAAAACATGTAAAAATGCCACAATCCTGTCAGTTAACGCCAAATGTGTGACAATATGAAGACTCTCTGAGAATCTTCACGTTAACCCCCAAAACTAATAATTCTTTTTCTTTGGACCTTTTTAATCCCACCTTTATTATATTTACAAATAACTCAAGGCACTGTACTTATCTAACATCCTCCCTCCTCTTATTTTCCCCACAACAACAAACCCATGAGGTGAGTTGGGCCGAGAGTGAGTGTGACTGGATCTGTAACATGGCTCCTTTGATAGGATCTCTCAATTTCCAGTCACTCGTCCGCTTTCTGCTTATGTTTTGTATTAGTGGTTGTCCTTGCTTAACTACAGTGAAGTTGGGACCAGAATTTCTGTCAGTAAGTGATGTGCCTGTTAAAGGCGACATCACGTGGCTGCACCACTTAAGAGACGGCAGTTTGGTAGCCCATCTGTTAATGGAATTGCTTGTGGAGTGCCAGGCACAAACACATTGACCTACAATCAGCCTATGAACCCGCTCAGAATCCCAATCAACCGCAAACCAACCAGAATTGGCCAACCGACCCTCAACCAACCCACACAATTCCCCCCAATGCCCCTGACCTGAAGTAACTTCCTTATCACAAGACCTGTTCTGACCAAGGCTTCCCAAGACCAGAATTAAGCACACACTTAGTTAAACCAACTCTTGTTTTATTTCAACGCTGGGAATTATGTGCATTCCCAGCCATTAATGAGTCCCAAACAGTCCCTCAAGATAAGCACCCACCTTTATCTCCTTTCAATTGCTGCCAACAACTAGAGTGCCAAATGAACTATAAAAAAAAAACCAACCGAAGTAGAGTCCACACAGAGTTTCAAGGTTTATTCTGAACAGAGCGAATGACTTTGCCTCCTGCAAAGGTTTCATCACTTTTGCCTGTCCTTTCTACCTTTTGGAAGGGGCAATCACCTCCAAGCCTTACTCCCAAGTCGTCCCTTTTGTCTTAGCTGTTCTTGCCTTCTAGCAGCTCTGTGCACACGCGACTGGGAACAAGCTCCCCTGGTTCCTCTGCCTCGCTGTTGCCAGACTGCAGAGGCTCTGGAGTCAGCACCCCACTCCCAGATGGCTCCATCTCTGCATTGGATGCAGGACCCTCGTCCGAGTCTTCTCCAGACTCCCGGACTGGTCCCTGTTCTTCCCAATTCCACTGCCGTCTGCACAGGCTGCCGGCGAATCACAACAAGACCCATCACAAGACTCCTCACAAGAACCTCACTTGACACACAGATACCTGAAGCTCTTATAAACAGAAGAACATCAACATTGACATCCCCTAAACTCCTCCGAGGATGTTACCTAGGCTGGTAATGAAACTTTCAGAAACCAACCCACAAGCTTGGAGAACCAACCTTCACCCCCATCCTACACCCAAGCTACAGATATTTGCCACCACTGCAAATAAAGAGGTCTTATCAAATGAACCATGTTACAGAAGCATAAGTGAATGTGAAAACCAATTGCTGCATGTTCCGTGCACATAAGTACTGACCTTTCGGTTGGATTCCAAAATGTACGAACTCTCCTCTTTGACCCGCTCCATTTCTTCTTGCAGTGTTATAATTCTGTTGTTTGCGACGGCAAGCTGCGTTAATCCCAAGAACACAAATGAAAAGACAAAACTTACAATGGTTGTCACTCTCAAATAATTTGGAGTTGGCCCCGCAACTCCATATGTGTATATATTTTCTTCGCCTCTTCTAATCCCTTCTCTATGAAATGCACACATAAAGGGTGTGTGCCCTCAGCAAAAGGATGTGCAAGCGTATTTTGTTTCCTTGTAAGATAATAAAAAACTTCCCAGTTTGTAATCCAGCTCCATCAGTACTGGTTAGCGCCCTGCACTAACGGATAGTTGGGGACTGCAGGAAAAAAAATGGCAACCAGCCTGCCTTCCATTGAGGACCTGTATACGGGCAAGAACCAGAAGGAGGGCTACAGACCCCCTCACATCCTGGACACAAATTGCTTCAACTCCTCCCCTTAAGATGCTACTATAGGGCACTGCATGTCAAAACAATTAGACAAGTTTTTTTTTCCTTGTGACATTATTCTGCTGAACATTTAATTCTTAATTCTTAAGTCTTATGCCTAAGGATATCTAACAATGTAGTAGGGTTGTATTACTGTTATCCTTTTCATCTTTCCTATTATCTACTCCAGAGGTGGGATGCAAATATTTTTACTACCGGATCTGTGGGCGTGGCTAGATGGGCGTGGCCATGCGATTGGGTGGGCGTGGGTTTTTTTTTTTCTGCAGCACACCTCCCTGCGCTCCATTTTTTTTTTTTGGCCTCCTGGGCCTCAGGGAAGCCTCCTGGGCAAAGCAATAAGATAGTTGGAACAGCTGATCGTCGGAACAGCTGATCGTCGGGAGGAAAAAAAGGAAGAAAAGAAATATTGGTTCAGCTGAAATATTGGTTCAACCAGTAGCTGTTTTTTTACTACTGGTTTGGCCGAATGGTAACATTTTTTTACTACCGATTCGCCCGAATTGGGATGAACCGGTAGAATACCACCACTGATCTACTCATATTGGTATCTTATGATTTATCACATTGTTTGTATATACACTGAGATCCCAAAGGTGCTTTTTTTTAAAGGGCAACTGGTCTTTCTGGTTTTTCTTTGAAAATATATCGCTTCTCATCTGGAGAGCTGAAGAAGCTTCTTGGATGAGAAGTGAAACGTCTTCAAAGAAAAACCAGAAAGTCCAGTTGCCCTTTTAAAAAGCACCTTTGTGACAACCATGACCTGGGCAACTGAGAATCTCCATAGACATTTAGCTGTACACTGAGAATTTACACACCGGAGACAAATTCCTTGTGTGTCCAATTACACTTGTCCAATAAAGAATAATCTTTGCAGAATTCCACAATAGAGTTAGACACCTGAGCTCTAGGCCAGATAAGATTTCCATTCTATAATATTAATTCATCTGGTATCTCTTGCATTTGGAATCTATTTTGGGACCAGACTGGGATATTACTTAATTAGAGGTGATCTAATTTATGAATGTTATCGAATGTCCCTAAAGCCAGAATGTTGTTTCTTTTAATTTTATCCAACACGGGTGGGGGCGGGGACAACCTTCACATTTCTTTCATTCCTACCTACCTCCTCAGTGAGTTTAGTGTTGGATTTTTCCAAAGCATCAACCTTTGCCTGCAAGTTGTTGACTGTAGCACTGTCCAATACAAAAAAAAAAAAAAAGACATGGTGTAACCATATGGAACTTAAGAACTCAACACACACTGACCAAATTTTCCACAGAAGATTTACCTCTTTACCTTAAATGTCTATTGAGCTCTTCTACGTAATTTTTCTGATCCAGAATTGCAGTAATTTGTCCATCACTGAAAATGGAACACAATGGAATATTATTCACCATGCACAGAGAGAAATATTAAGCAGTATGGCAGAGCACAGCAATACGTTTAGGAAGAAGAATTTGCTGATTGCGTTGATGAAAAAGTCATATACAAATTCATTCGTTGGCCCATAGAAAAGCAGGCATCAATCTTTTTCCTAACATGATAACAAAATAATGCTCATCAATTCAGAGGACAGTTGTTTGAAAATTAATACGACATTTAGCAACAATTAAGATTTTTAAGGCCTACTATAGTCTGAATTCAGGGATGGGCTGCTGGGGGTTCGCAGGGATTCGGGAGAGCCCCTAGCTAAGATTCTGTGCAGTTCGGAGGACCCCCAAATCTCTGCCTACTCTGCTCTGCCCCTCCCAGGAGTTCCCCCACGGCCTGTTTTGGATACAGGTAAGTGCATGCAGAGAGACTCACGGAGGGCAAAAAACGGGGCTCCCGGAAGTTCAGAAAGGCCAGAAATGGGCCCATTTCCAGCTTCCAGAGGGCCTCCGGAGCCCAGGGAGGCTGTTTTTGACCTCCCAGAGGCTCGAGAAAAGCCTCCGGAGCCTGGGGAGGGCAAAAACATCCCTCCTGCCGTGGTGCAGGAGGCTGATTAGGCTGCGCCCACCATGGCCACGCCCACCCAGCAACCAGGCCAAGAACCCGTTGCAACATTTTTGAAGCCCACCCCTGCCTGAATTGGCATGCGCTAAAAACATAGAATTCAATAATAAATAGATGATTGTCTGAAAAGAATTAGAAACCGTAACATGAAAAGAAAAAAAATGTGTCATGATTATATATATATATAATGTTTGGACAAGTCAACATCCAGCCTCCAGAGCCATGCTATCTGCAGGAAAGGTCAAAAAATGTCAAGAAGGTGATTATGACAAGACATCCCACACTTTTATATGTGATGATTAATTTTCCTAGTTGCCATCCTGACTTTTTGACAAACTCACACTTACACACACTTAGACACCCTTGGCTCCAGAAGCTGCTGTTTCGCAGAGATAAAAGTGAATCTAGAAAAATGAGCGACAACTGGGAAAAAAAACACCAAGGTGTAAAATTGACAAAGTTCTCTTATAACGGAGCTTCAGAGAAGCATCTAAAATACAGATTCTGGATAGGAACCAAAGGACTTACCCTTCACTGCCTTTACTGCTGCTGCCATCCTTCAAATACATTGAAAAATCAATAACGCCAACCTACAAGAGAAGACAGCAATACTTCACGTCCGACACTTGCAACTTTTTTTTTTTTCATTTTATTCGTCTTATACTCTAACTTATTAACTGTGTGATTCATCCAAGGCATGTTTAGTAATTGGGAACACGGCACAAACAGACTCGCAAGATTGATGTCGGCTCTATTATAAGCAGGCCAGGCCAAGAAATCAATTCCACAGAAAGGCTGAATTTATTTTTATTGAGATGGCCTATAACAGTGATGGCTAACCTTTTTGTTGTCATGTGCCTAAAGTACCCCACCATCCCCCGCGTGCGTTACGCGCCTCTGGACTTGATCCGGGATGACGGCTTGCATGCTGAAAGAGATGGCTCTGCGTGCCACTTCCGGCATGCATGCCATACTTTTGCCATCCCGGGCCTATAATCACAAAACTGTCCAAGTCCTCTTCCGTTTATAGAGGTAGTCCTTATGGAGCATGTCATGCCCCTGTCGGAATCTGATTCGGAGGGGGAGGCCGAACAGCTGACAGGGAGTGGGAGTATGGCTCCGTGGGCCGTGGAAGAAACTGGGGAAGGGCAAAGTCCGGCTGGGCAAAGCAGAGGAGAGGTAGAGCAAGGGAGAGGGAATTCAGAGGAAGACCCAGGCCCACTTCCTCTTCATCCTAGGGCATGCAGGGAGGAACAGAGAAGGGAGCAACATGAGATACATGGCTTACAGGGGAGGAAAGGGCCCTGATTCCCTTAATTAGCTGCAGCTCAGAACACAGTGTATAAAAGAAGCTGCGCACAGCAAGTTGTTGAGAGCAAACGTGAATTTATCTTGTATCGTCGTGGTTTATCTGTGTTCCTGGCATCTTCCCAACTGTGTGTGTTTTGGCTGTGCTCTCAAGTCTGCAATTCCTTCTCCTGCCCTGTCAAGTTTAACTACTGCAGCGTGGTTTGTTTGGATTTTTAGTTACAGTTTGTATGTACTTTGTTTTCGGACTGAATTTCCTCCACTTAAAGACTGTTCTTCAGAGAGTTTTTTCTCCAGCCAAAGGTAACTTAGACATTGGGGGCAAAGTTGGAGGTACTAAAGGGACTCTTCCTACTTATGTGACTGTGTTACCTTTGTGCCATGCCCCGGATCATCACAGAGCACAACATTTCTGTTGCTAAGTGAGACAGCTGTTAAATTAATTTCACCTCATTTTGTTAAACTTCACTGTTTAAACATAGTTGTTAAGTGAATCTGGCTTCCCCACTGACTTTGCTCGTGAGAAGGTCACAAAAAAGGAGAATCACATGTCCCCCCCAAGGATGCTGCAACCATCATAAATATGAGTCGGTTGCCAAACGTCTGAATTTCAATCACGTGACCACAGTCGTAAATGTGAAAAATGGCCGCCAGTCACTTTTTTCAGTGCTGTTGTAACTTTAAACAGTCACTAAATGTTAAATGCTGTAAGTCTAGGACTAGCTGCAGTTCAGTGAATTAGGGAGGTGTCTGCCTCTTTTGCTTCCTGTTCTGGACTTAAAATTTAAGTTTCTCCTCAGTCACCCTTGCCAAGGTTTTCTTCCTTGTAATATTTCTCAACCTTAACATCTTGGACTTCATTCCCCAGAATTCCCTGCCCACTTAGTAAAGTCACATTTGACTTGACATGCTGTTAGGATACTAAATGTAGTAGCTGGACCAGTAAATTTACAATCGGCCAGAACACACAGTTGTCGTTAATTGGTCAGAGTCAGAGTTGGTATTCAGTCGGTTCTGACCAGTTCTGGAGAACCGGTAGCGGAAATGTTGAATAGTTTGGAGAACTGGCAAATGTCACCTCTGACTGCGCCCCCATCCCATCTCTTCGCTGCCTCCCATTGAGTCCCAGCTGATTGGCTGGGTCTTCTTTGGTTGCCCTGCACAGGAGAATGGAGCTGGAAAGCAGGTTAGTGGGGTGGGGAGGGAGGGAGATTTTGCAGTAACCTTCCCCCAGGAGTGGGGAGGAAATGTTTACGGTATCCTTCCCCTGCCACGCCCACCAAGCCACGCCCACAGAATCAGTAGTAAAAAAATTTGAATCCTACTCCTGGTCAGAGTTCTGACTCATGCATGAGGTAATCTATGCTGTGATTGGTTGCCATAAGCGTAAAGGGGGCGTTTCCCTTTCCCCCCATCTTTTTCTCTTCAGTGTGTTCTACCTACAGGCAATCCTCGACTTACAACAGTTCGCTTAGTGACCGTTCAAAGTGACAACGGCACTGAAAAATTGTGACTTGCGACCATTTTTCACACTTCGACTTTTGCAGCATCCCTATGATCGCATGATCAAAATTCAGATGCTTGGCGGCTGGTTCGTACTTATGACCATCGCTGTGTCCCAAGGTCATGTGATCACGTTCTGTGACAAGCAAAGTCAATGGGGGAAGCCGTATTTGCTTAACAACCAGGTTATTAACTTATCAACTGCAGTGACTTACTTACCGTAACAACTATGGCAAGAAAGATTGTAAAAAATGGGGCAACTTGAGAAATGTTTCCCTTGACAACAGACATTTTGGCCTCGATTACGGTCGTAAGTCGAGGACTGCCTGTACTGTTTAATTTACCTCATGATGTTCCTGACTATCTTGCGTTTTCTCTTTCTGTGGGGTGATAAAGACTACAATTTGTGTTATTGTCTTTGACTTTATCTGGACAGCTGCTGTGCAATTGCCTGACACACGCTCAACATTCAATATAGCCAACTGCAAGAAGGCTAATTGTTATCTACACGCTAAGTAACTCCCCATTTATGTGTAAGCATGAGATCTGGCACCTGAGAATCCAAGTCTTCTCCCTTCATGCAAAAATTTGCATCAATGACATTGAGGCCCACTAAAAGTCCAGCGATTATAGCCCCCTCTTCCTCCATCATGAGAGCATTCGCTTCGTAAAATTCACTGCAAAACATATTGAAATATAAATGGTTACAATATTGTTATTATTATTATTATTTAAGGTTTAATCTTCAATTCGATTGACAGCCTGGGACTGGAAAAAAAACTGAACAGTTCAAGTCCAGACCCAGGACCTAAGAGATGTTAATGTCATATCTGAGTATATAGGCAGTTTCAAGTAAGGTGTTTTTTTTTTTAAAAAAAGTCAGAATATTCAGGTCTAATAGTTCAAAATGTTATTATTTAAGATTTAATCTTTAATCAATTTCACAATCTGGGATTGGTAAAACAGTTCAAGTCCAGACCTAGGACCTAAGAGATTATCAAAATGTATTATTTAAGATTTAATCTTCAATTCGTTTCACAGTCTGGAATTGGTAAACACTTAACAGTTCAAGTCCTAACCAAGGACCTAACAGCTGTTAAGGTCACATATGATAGTGATGATAATAATAAAAAGTATTACTATTGTTTAGCATATTCAGTCTATGTAATTAGAAGTAAAATTTCTATGGGGGTTTCATTTACCTGTTTCTTTGTTTTGCTGGACTGCACACACAGTCTTGTGTGTGTGTGTGTGTGTGTGTGTGTGTGTGTGTGTGTGTATGTGTGTGTGTGCATGCTTTGCTCTGGGACTTGCCAAGAATGTGGGAGCGTTTGGGGAAATTTGGAGCATTAAAATTGACTTTGACCTCTCCGCTGGCTGTGTGACCTTTGTGCCTTGTTCCGGGTGGAAGGAGGAGTCAAGTGAGGGCCAAGTTTGGAATCATTGCATGGTTGCAAATGATGTAAACTTCATTCCCTCATCCATGAAGCCTTATCTGAACATTCCCAGGGGAAGGCAAGCAGTCTAGGAAGAAGATTCTTGTAATATAGGTGTGTAAACAATAAAGTTACTGACTTTGGCTATTTATGAGAGGCTATGGTTGCTTGCTCCGGACATGACATATTCTAACAAGTCCCCAAAAGGGAAATGTTTAAATTTCCTCCTCTTAAAAATTTTAGACCAGTGGAAGTAACAATATGGGATATAAAAAGACTGCTTAAAGACAGCATCTGATTTATGTGACACCACACGAGGATTTCCATCCAAGAACAAACCGAGTTCTCACCTGAGAATTTCCCTTCTGTTTATCAAAGCTTTCATGTACTCTGAAAGTTTCTTCTGCATCAATGCCAGGCGCAGCCAGGCTCTTCCCCTTCCCACGGGAGTCCTACCAAGTCCCAAAGACAAAGGAAAACTGTTGTTACACATAAGGTGGCAGGTCTCCTAAGTGCCAAAATTCTGCGCACAAAATAAAACAATAAAAGTGGACGACTAATTTTCCCCTCCCCTCCAATTAGATAAAAGTAAATACAAGAAGGGGTCCAATGGCTGAGAAGAGGAGCGGTGTCCTAATGCACAGGGTGAAAAACGTACTCAACCGAATTTTATTTGAAGCGTTTTTCCAATCATACTCTTTAGAAGTGTTATGCTGTAACTTGACTAGCTCGATACCCATGCTTTGCTATGAAACGATGTGGTTGGGCTTAGTTTGGGGGGAGGAAAATAAGGGGGGAAATTCTGCCTCTGCCTACCAGCATCCATCGGTATTCATCTAGCTAGCATCTTGTCAGTGTGTGAGAGAGTTGAGGGCTGTTTGGAAATTGAAACAGTATTTGCTGTGTGAGCAAGGAGACAGCAAGGAGCCCGGGTGTGGCTTAGCTCAACTGTTCTGTACTAAAGCTGCTTGCTGCTGTGAAACTGAAACTCCTCTCCTCTGCTTGTGTTTTGCATTTGGAACAGATTTCTTTTCAGGTGGGGAGGGGGAGAAGAACTCCTTAGCATCAGAGGGTGTTAATAATAATATACAAGATACTAATGCTCTGATGGTCATTTTGAAAATCCTTTCTTAGTGAGCAACCAGAAGCCAAGAGAAACATACGTGCCAAATTTCAAGTTTGTAGGCTTTACGGTTCTGGAGATTTTGTCATGATGCGTGAGCGGTATTTCACTTTTATATAGATAGATTAAGAATCACTTAACCACACAGGTTAAGTGGTTAAGATACTAGGCTTGTCGATTGGAAGGCTGGCAGTTTGAGACCTAAGTACTGCATGATGGATTGAGTTCCCATTACTTGCCCCAGCTCCTGCCAATTTAGCAGTTCGGAAAGCATGCAAACGCAGGTAGATCAATAGGTACCACTTTGGTGGGAAAATAACAGCGTTCCTTGTGCCTCGATGTATAGTCATGCTGGTCACATGACCGCCAAAAGCATCTTTGGACAACACTGATTCCTTTCGCTTGGAAATGGAGATGAGCATCGCTCTCTAGAGTCGGATATGACTGACAGACAAAATCTTTGTCTTTTTTTTTAAAGCTTAAATACAGGCGGTCCCTCTGTCTATGACTGATATATTGCATAAAGAGCCAAAGCAGATCCAACGTGGCCTTCTACTTCAAAAATTGAGCTGTTATAGACTCCTGAGCAAGTCCTTAATGAATAGAGTTACTGCTCTACAGAATTTCTGAAAAAAACCTGATAGGCATCTTGTGGAAAGAACAGAGAAAGAGAACACTTACTTTAGCCCTGGCAAATCTTTAACGCTTGCTGTGATTTCTCCAGCTTCAGGAACAAATTTCTCTACCAGTTCCAGAGGTCCCCAAAATGACTTATTTTGGCCCAGAAAAGTCTTCTTGGCTAAACAAAAAACATTTTTTTGTTTGTTTATAATATCTGAATCGCCATTTTAAGTCATTTGGAACAGTGGCATTGCAAACACTTTCAGCATATCTCAATACTGTATCTTAATCCAGATTTCCCCAATCGTATCTCCCAGGTATTTGTGCAACAGAACTCTGATTAATTCCGGTCATGGCTTTAATTCCAGTGGAATGGCTTGCCTTCAGAAACTGTGGGTGCTCCCTCGCTGGAGATTTTTAAGAAGAGACTAGACAACCATTTGTCTGAAATGGCATAGAGCAGTGATGGCGAATCTTTTTGTTGTGGTGTACCAAAAGTGTGCGCGCCAGCACCCACAATGCAATGCGCCCCGCCCCCCCTGCGCATGCACACACAACACCCCCGCCACGCCCCTTAGCTGCACTGCGCATGCGCGTGCCTCTCAGCTGATTTTTGGCCCATTTGAGGCTGTTTTCGCCCTCCCGGAGGCTTGAGGGAAGCCTCTGCAGCTTCGGGAGGCTGAAAAACAGGCCTCTGGAAATACTGGAAGTGCCCGTTTTCAACCTCCAGAGGGCTTCTGGAGCCCGGAGGAGGCCATTTTCTCCCTCCCAGGAGCTTGAGGGAAGCATCTGGAGTCTCGTGAGGCTGAAAACGGGCCTGTTTTGGCACTTTCAGTTTTTCCAGAAGGACCATTTTTCAGCCTCCAAAGGCTGCAGAGGGTTCCCTCGAGCCTCTGGGAGGGCGAAAACGGCTTCAAACAGGCCGAAAATCAGCTGGGAGGCACACACATGCACAGTGCAGGTAAGTTTGGCTGGGGCTCGTGTGCCTGCACAAATGGCTCCGCGTGCCACCTGTGCCATAGGTTCACCATCACGGGCATAGAGCCACCTGGTTGAGCAGGGGGTTGGACTAGCTTTATTTATTTATTAATTAAACTTGTATGCCAGCCATCTCACCTAAAGGAGATTCTAGGCAGTTTACAATCATAAAAACCACAAGATGAAACATGGAAACAATACACATTAACACTAAAATTGATTTAAAATATTGGTTCTTCCCCATTCATTTAATCATGTTCCCACTTTGTTCTGTTTGAAAGTGTACATTAAATGTTTTAGTTGATTCTATAAATCAATAGATTGATTTTTAAGGGCTTATGATTCTTATCCTACTGGGGTAGACCATCAAATTAGGTCCTGGATGTTTGGATATGAAGATGTATTGAGGAAAAACCTGGAAATAAGGTCTACTATATTTGCCCACTACCAAGAAATAAAAAAAAATATAGACTTATGGACTTTACTGATGAAAATGGACTATCCCTTTAAACCAGGAGTCTCCAAACTTGGCAACATTAAGACTTGTGGACTTCAACTCCCAAAATTCTTGCAAAGCTGGCTGAAGAATTCTGGAAGTTGAAGTCCACAAGTCTGAAAGTTGCCAAGTTTAGAGATTCACTGCTTTAACCAACACTTTATTAGTTTAGTTTACTTTATTGTCATTGCACCTCATACAATGAAATTAAACACCATCTTCAGTATGAAAATAAACACAAACACATTCTATACATTGAATTGAAAACCCCTGATATTGCATTAATATTGCACTATACAGTAGAATTCAATAGAGTAGCTGCCCTCGGATAGGAGCTGTTTTATCTAAAAAAATGTCTTAGAAAACAAAACATACTGCTGTCAACTCATAAAACATTTTGTATACACGTTTTATAGTTGACAACAGAAAGAAGGTAGGGGGAGTTTCAAAGAGCAGGCGGCAGTGTGGAATCGAAAGTATATTCCATTCATACTTTCTTCAGAGACTGATTAAATGACTGAAGCTTCTGCCGTGAAAAAAAATCTAATTGGAGAGCATGATTGATGACTCTTGGCTATAGATGTTTTTCGTCGGATGATCCACCCAGAGGGGTGGGAGGGAAAGCAGGATCAAGGGTGGCAGTGAATTACGTATCTCAGAGTTGGCTACACCCAGGTAAATGCTGGATGTAGAATGTTACCTTCATATAAATCCTTTTTTAGTTTTGGGAGTGTGGCTCGAGGCTCGTGATTTAATTGGAGTAACTGCCGGAATCCTGACAACTGCTCTAGTTTATTCCAGTTTAAGAATCTGGATATAATCCCTAGAGGAGATCTTCTGTCGATCTATACCCACCTTTTAAGCCATGTTTAAGGCAGTGCTCCATGACTACAAAAAACTGCTGAAGAGGTGCATAGTCGGAGTCCAAGGTTCTCCCAAGATTTAGAGCAGATTCTATTAAGCCCTTTATGCTTAGTTTCGCCATGTTCATCAGATTCATGCGTTCATTGGCCATGACATAGTTGGGATCTACAAGAGAACATATAGACACAGTTTAATGAGAAACAGGATTGTAATTTCAATTGACTGGGGGGAAAAAACAACTAAAAAAAGACAGAGATAACAGCTGGCAGACCTAAAGGAGCAGGCTAGGCCAGATCATGCTGGGAAAAGTCTTTATCTTCTAATGTGATCGCTAAGCATTGAGACTGACATGGTGGAACCTCAATATAAAGAATATTGTATAATTTATTGTATTGTATCATTAAGAATGACAACTGTCATATCTTCCAAAAAATAGTTCAAGAATGGTGAAAGTTAAAAAATCATCCTTGTAGAAAACAGGCAATACTTTTAAGGTAGACTTCCCAAAAGATTGAATTGGACCGAGTCCCCCAAATTTCCACCCAGGTGGTAGAAGACAATTATATAGAGAGGTCGTCCTCGACTTACGACCACAATGGAGCCCAAACTTTCCATTGCTTAGCTAGGCAGGTGTTAAGTGAGTCACGCATCCCGTTTTACGACCATTTTGTCATGGTGGTTAAGTGAATCGCTGCAGTTCTTAAGTGAAACACATGGTCATTAAGCAAATCTGGATTGTCCCATTGGCTTTGCTTATCAGAAATTACCTAGGAAAGTTGTGAATGACAATCCCAGGCAGGACCCTACAACCACTGTAAATACAATGCAGAGGTGGTATTCAGCAGGTTCTGACCAGTTCTGGAGAACCGGTAGTGGAAACTTTGAGTGGTTCAGAGAACCGTCCAATACCACCTCTGACTGGCCCCACCCTATCTATTCTCTGCCCCCTGAGTCCCAGCTGATTGGCTGGGTCTTCTTTGGTTGCCCTGCACAGGAGAACGGAGCTGGAAAGCAGGTTAGTGGGTGGGGAGGGAATGGGGATTTTGCAGTAACCTTCCCCTGCCACGCCCACCAAGCCACGCCCACAGAACTGGTAGTAAAAAAAATTGAATCCCACCACTGATACAATGCCTGCTGGCTACAGAATTCTGGGAGTTGAAGTCCACATATCTTAATTCTGGCAGTAGAAATCCACACACCTTAAAAATAACAAGTTTGAGAAACGCTCCAATAGAAGCATGTTGTTTGTAAAACTTTGCTTACACCGTAGAATTAGATACATGGCAGAAATTGTGGGAGAGAAACTATAAATTAACGATGTCAACTGCATACAAAGAAAATCTGTATAAGATGTTTTATAGATGGCACTTTGCACCGGTAAGACTGGCCAGAACATTTAAAGACAAATCAGCTAAATGCTGGAAATGCCACCAGACACCTGGATCATATTATCATATGTGGTAGTCATGCATAGAAGCCAAAAGATATTGGACAAAAATACACATGTGGTTGGAAAAGATGATATAGCAACATATAGATTTAAAACCTGAAATATTTCTGTTGGGGATTACACCTGAAATTTATAGTAAAGAAAAGGCATACTTAATCATGCATGTATTAACCGCAGCTAGAATTGTATTTGCACAAAATTGGAAAAGTGAGAAGATTACGACAGATGAGAATGTGATCAGGAAAATATTAGAATGTGCGGAAATGACTAACACTTGCAATTAAAGAAAAGGAACAGACTAAATACTATATTATATGGGAACTATTTTATCAATGGCTGGAGAATAGAAATGGAAATTAGAAATGAAAGACGACTAGCAAAAAATAGTAAACATGTGAACAAGAATTAAATACATTAAGAGGGGATTGTTATAATACTTATATATTACGCATAGTAGTATAAAGTATAAAGTACTATAAGTATAAAGTAGTATAAAATAAGTATAAAGTACTTATATTATAGTAATGAGTATGTATTAATTGTAATTGTTATTGCACAAGATATTTGTACCCAGACATCACAACGTTTAAACAGAAGATGGATTGTTCGTATAAAATAAAATAAAAAAATTGCAAGGAAGGAAGGAAGGAAGGAAGGAAGGAAGGAAGGAAGGAAGGAAGGAAGGAAGGAAGGAAAGAAAGAAAGAAAGAAAGAAAGAAAGAAAGAAAGAAAGAAAGAAAGAAAGAAAGAAAGAAAGAAAGAAAGAAAGAAAGAAAGATGTTGTTTGTTAAACATGGTCTGAATCATTTTTTTGGCTTTTCAGTTTATACTGCTACACACACACAATAATACCCCACTAAGTATTATTATTAAGTTTCCTGCTAATCCTAATTTGCAAACCTATTTACCAAGACAATGTGGGTGGCCATTAAGACAAAAGCTGATACTGACAATTCCATAACGGAAACACAGAACCAAGAACAGCATAATCTAATATATGCAAAGGAGAGTGGTTGCCTAATGCAACAGATCCTTCTTCCTCTAAGAACGATCATTTGCATTGCAAATCAGGCATGAATCTCTGCAGACAACGGAACATCCAAGATTGGCAATCTTAAGACTTGTGAACTTCAAAATGCCCCAAAATTCCCCAGCCAGCCATGTGGAAGTGGGCAGGGAACATTGCACAGTTCTTTAAAAAAATTTGTTTTTAAAAAAAGCTGACTTGCATGACAAAACAGAAGGCCCCAAAGCTTGAGTTTAAAGACTCGGTAGTCTGTAGAATAAAATAGTCAAATCAATAAAGTATTTCCTCACTAAACAGAATTCTTCCCTCCCTAGAAAACTGTTATGAAGACAAATCCAGGAACTGTTTCGAAGGAACTCAGTTTGTTTCCGAAGGAATACAGATAATATTTTTTTACTAATCTACACAAATTTTCCAAGCCATCAGCTACACGTCATGGGTTGCTTCCTTTAAGACCATCCCTCGATTCAGAAAATGTCACTCATATTGTACTTTCACATTTAAAACAGACTCCATGTTGACGGTACTCATTAAAAGAGCAAAGAACCTTTCTTTTATTTAGTAACAGGTAGTCCTCAACCTCTAACCCACAAATGAGCCCAGAATTAGGGCCATAAGTTTTGCTCATCGTTAAGTCATCATACGAATGATCAAATTTTATGACATTTTTTGCAGAAATTGTTAAGCAAATCTGAGATAGTTAAGTGAACATATTGCTTGCAATGGGCGTTTCTTTGCCAGAAAAAATGGACATAAATGACAATTTCTGGCAAAAAATGGTGATCATTGCAAATGGTCGTAGATATGAGCTGGCTGGCAAGTGCCCAAAACAAAAAACAGTTTTGCTTAGTAGCCATGAAAATTTTGGGCTCAATTCTGGTCATAAGTTGAGGACTATCTGTACTGTAAACCACCTCAAACAGTATTTTTCTCTTTAACTGATGAAATATATCTCTTTAACAGATGAAATAAAATTATAAATGACAACAAACGTCCAAGTTTAACCATTTCATACCTGTAGTTAACCGAGGGAAGCAATGTGTAATTAAATAAACAGGTTACAAAATTACTACTGGACTGCCAGTAGAAGAGAATACAGGTAGTACTCGACTTACAACAATTGAGCCCAAAATTTCTGTTGTTACGAGAGACATTTGTCAAGTGAGTTTTGCCCCATTTTACAACCGTTTTTGCCACAGTTGTTAAGTGAATCACTGCAGTTGATAAGTTAGGAACCTGGTTCTTAAGTGAATCTGGCTTCCCCATTGACTTTGCTTGTCGGAAGGTCGCAAAAGGGGATCCCATGACCCCGGGACACTGCAGCCGTCATAAATGTGAGTCAGTTGCCAAGCATCTGAATTTTGATCATGTGACCTTGGTTGTAACTCTGAAAAATGGTCCTAAGTCACTTTTTTCACTGCCGTTGTAACTATGAACAGTACTAAATGAACTGTTGTAAATCAAGGACTACATGTATTTGTAGCTCAGGGCTGAACTATGGACTCCTGGGTGCTCTCTGAGCTTGGCTGTCTTCTTGCAGACGTTTTATGACCCAACTAGGTAACATCATCAGTGCTACGGTAGAAAGGAACTGGGGCTTTATTCTTGCTCCCACACCTTCCACAGAATTCCAAATCCATTATGCCTATGGAGATTCCCAATTATCCAGGTCATGCTTGTCCCCAAAAGTAGCTTTTCCAAAAGGAAACTGATCTCTCTTGCTTTTTTTTTTTTTCCTTTCGAAAACGTTTCCCTTCTCATCCAAGGAATTTCTTCAGTTCTAACTTGGAGGAGACAGGAAATGATTTCAAAGCGGGGGGCGGGGGGGAACCCAAGAAAGTCCAGCTGCCTTTTGCAAAAAATACTTTTGGGATGTCGAAACCTATTAGGTAAAGGTTCCCCTCACACCTACGGGCTAGTCGTTTCCGGCTCTAGGGGGCGATGCTCATCTCCATTACAAAGCTGAAGAGCCAGCGCTGTCTGAGGATGTCTCCGTGGTCATGTGGCCGCCATGACTAAATGTCGAAGGCGCACGGAACGGTGTTACTTTCCCACCAAAGTGGTCCCTATTTTTCTGCTTGCATTTTTTACGTGCTTTCGAACTGCTAAGTTGGCAGAAGCTGGGACCAGTAAACGGGAGCTCATTCCGTTATGCTGCGCTAGGGATTCGAACCACCGACCTTTCCGATTGACAAGCTCAGCGTCTTAGCCACTGAGCTACCACGTCCTCAATTCAAATCTATTACTGTCTCTTAAAGTGAGACTGGAACTCATCACATCTTGGCATATGCATAGTCTCAAATTTAGTAACAGAGGAGATGCTGAAGTACTCTAGAACCAAAATCATGTTGACTTTTTCTTATCTTCCTATTTCCATCAGCCCAATGGGACAACATGCTTGTCACAGGCCACAGTCAAATTAGATGGGTGTTAGAGAAAGCTTTATTTATAACGGAAATCTTTTGAAGCCGGACCTATCAGATGTAAACGTGGGAAATAAGGAAATGCACAAAAAGCCACTTTATTACATTCCAAAATATAAATCCACAAACCCTCAAAGCTTACAGTTTTCTGTCGTAACACCGAGTCTCTTATCCATTTCTGCTTTCTTGCCTAGGAGTGCGGCACACAAAAAAATAATTCCCCAACCGCAACCAGTTGCTGTTTCATTTGTTTACATCCTTTCCACAATGAACTGTGGCATATCATACACAGGCTGTATTTACATCACACATGCAACCACAAATCAGCCAATCACATTTGAGCCTCTTGCTTTGGCAGGAGCTGGCTAAGGGTTAGCTACTTCATTATTCCATGGACTATTGCGTGATGCCAACAGTTTGTGAAAACTTCACTGTGATCTTGCTAATCACTGGTACGTACACAGGGTGAGTAAGCACCGCAAGTTACAAACAGAGGAACAGAGTTGGAAGAGGCCTTGGGAAGTCTTCTAACCCTGGCTGATTTAGCTGAAGGAGGGTGAACAGAAAAATGGTTATTGGAAAGAAACCTCTTTAAAGCTTTTTTTTTTGCTGGGCAAGTTTAACAGAATAACAGAGGTGGGAAGGGACCTTGGAGGTCTTCTAGTCCAACCCCCTGCCAAGCAGGAGACCATATTCCATTTTAGACAGATGGTTGTTCAGTCTCTTCTTTAAAAACCTCCAGTGTTGGAGCATCTACAATTTCTGGACAGAAGCTGTTCCACTGATGTTCTCGCTCTCAGGAAATTTCTCCTAAGTTGCTAGGTTGGATCTTTCCTTGGTTAGTTTCCATCTGTTGCTTCTTGTCCTGCCTTCAGGGGCTTTGGAGAATAAATGGACCCCCTCTTCTTTGTGGCAACCTCTTAGATATGGGAACACAGCTATTTCTATCCCCTCTAATCCTTATTTTCATCGAACTAGAGATACCCAATTCCAGCAACTGTTCTTCATGAATTTTAGCCTCCAGTAGCCTAGTCATCTTTGTTCTTCTCTGCACACTTTCTAGAGTCTCAACATCTTTTTTTTATATCGTGGTGACCAAAATCGGATGCAAAATTCCAAGTGTGGCCTTACCAAGGCGTTATAAAATGGCATGAAGACTTCACATGTTCTTGATTCTATCTCTCTGCTAATACAAATACATTTTTCCTCATTCACTTATAAAGGCAACCATTTCTCTGAATATCTAATTATAACTTCCCGTACATGTCTTAAATGTAGCTGTTTTTAATCCCCTTAACAGCACATTGTCCATGTGCACTCAGCACATACACCAAAAAGGTTGAAGTAATGTGCCAAAACGACGGGACAAAGGCAAAATTTTGAGATACGAGATATGATTGGACAGGCATTTATCTGAAAGGTTGGACTAGAAGACCTCCAAGGTCTCTTCCAACTCTGTTAGTTACTCTGTTAACCTTCTCCAAGGAATGAACAGAAAAAACTAAGCAAACAAAATGCATGAGTGTGGCAGCAAACATTTGTCAGAGGTTTTTTAAAACTTTTCATATAATGAAAGAAGAAACAGTCAAGAATGAAAGGTATAAACGAGGCAGCGAAAGGTATACAACGTATACCATTTAATGAATCCTTGAGCCTTAAATAAATGTACTGCTGACAACCCTTTCAGAAAATATTCCAGGATTATTCTTTGCTGGATTTTTTTGTTCTTGAAGACTTAAAAGATTTATTTGCTTCAGTCCAGATATGATGATGATTTAGAAAGCTGTTTTATTATCTGTTGCCACATGCAGGGGTTGTATCAATTATTTATATATTTAACCCAGTTTTAAGGAGTTGGTTCTGGATGTTTAGAGACTAATCTATTTCCTTTTTGGAGAACAAGTTACAGGTAGTCCTCAATTTATGACCACAACTCTGTTTTCTGTTCTTAATCCAGGTGGTTGTTAAGTGAGGCAAGCTCGATTTTATGACCCTTTTTTTGGCCACAATTGTTTAACAAATCACAGGAGTTGTTCAGTGATCCTGGCTTCCCTAGTGATCCTAATGTCATGCCAGATGTCAAGCACCTGGATTTTGACCCCATGATTGTGGAGATGCTGCAACAGTCATAAGTGCGAGAACTGGTCATAAGTCACTTTTCCCCAGCGCCATTGTAACTTTGAACTGTCACTAAATGGGTGATTGTTAAGTCAAGAACTACCTGTATATTTCTACTGAAGTATATAGCAAGATACTGTAGTAAGAGAGAGTTCAGCTTCTGGAGTTCTGGTATGCAGGCAGATCTTGACATACAGCCATTCATTTTGTGACTGTTTGAAGTTACGACGGCACTGAAAAACGTTACGGCCATTTTTCACCCTTACGACCACTGCAGCATCCCCATGGCCACGTGATCAAAATTCAGACCCTTGGCAACTGACTCATATTTATGACGGTTGTATTCTCCCGGGGTCAAGTGATCCCCTACTGCGACCTTCTGACAATGGGAAAAACCAGATTCACTTAACAACCGCGTTACTAACTTAACAACTGCAAGGATTCACTTAACAACGGTGTCAAGAAAGGTAACAAAACAGAGCAAATCTCATTGATCAAGGTGTCTCACTTCCCAGAGGAAATTTTAAGCACAATTGTGGTTGTAAGTTGAGAACTACCTGCATATATTAATGCCTTTAGAGGAGACCAGTATGTAGTGTCAACCAATAGAATGTATTTTATTTCTATTTATCCATGATTAAATGTATCTGTAATGATTCTGTGCTCCTTCGGATGCTGCCCAATGGTAGCCCAGAAATAAAATGAATAAATGGAGGTATGATATGTGCATATTAAGAATGCAATGGAGACGGACTACATTAAGAGAAAATGCGTAGTTTTAACCCGAGAAAATAGCAGAACAATATGGGCAACAGATGTGCATGGACTCTGCAGTGACAACCCGTGGACCCAGCTCAAAAGACGACAAAAGCCATGGCAAATGGGATGTAGAGAAGAGCAGGAAGATGTTGGTGTGGCACGCACCTTCTGTATCATCGCGCAATTGCTCCACCAAATCTGTCAAATCCTCCCAAGAGTCTTTGCAAACAGCAAAAAAAAAAGGGAAAAGAAAGGGAAAAAAATGTCATGGAAGCCATGATACAAAGAAAAGATTGAGGGGTGGGGTGACGGGAAATAATCAAGGTAAGGAAACGAACAACAGAGAAGGGAGGCTGTTATACAAGGAAACACACTGGAATTATCTCAGGCTTAAAGTCTTTCGCTGTATTTTTTAATTACGATATTGCATAGTCACACAGAGCATTAAAAGCGACCCGGAAAGAATGAATTCTTTTTTTTAACCGAGTCAAAAAAAAGAATATTAAGTGTATGAAGTTTTAAATTATTTTTTTTAAGAAGGCGGTGAATTTGTAACCTGCCTTTTTTTAAATGAGATAGGACTTTTCGAGATGTTTCTAATTCTTTTCAGACGATTTATTATTTAATTCTACGTAATTAGCGCATGTCAATTCAGGCAGGGGCGGGCTTCAAAAAATTTAGCAACGGGTTCTCTGCCCGGTTGCTGGATGGGCGTGGCCATGGTGGAGGGAGGGCGTTTTCACCTTCCCCAGGCTCCGGAGGCTTTCCTCGAGCCTCTGGGAGCACAAAAATGGCCTCCCCTGGGCTCCGGCTTTCTGGAAGCTTGGAAACAGGCCCATTTCCGGCCTTCCCGAACTTCTCCGAAGCCCATTTTTCAGCCTCCCCGAGCGCCCTGCACTTACCTGCATCCAAAACAGGCCGCGTGGGGACTCTGGGGAGGGGAGGGGTGGGGTGGGCGGGGCCACCAGGAGTGGGATTTGGGGGTTCTCCAAACTGCACAGAATCTTAGTGAGGGGCTCTCCTGAACCCCTGCAAATCCCCAGCAGCCCACCTCTGTGTATATATACCAGTTTTTCTGAAACTATTTTTTAAAGAATTATTGGAGACCTCAATAGAAAAGGAAAATAATATTTTCTGGTATTTTGCACAATTATCTCTATGCTAAAACAAGCCATCTGTGCACCAATTAAGATATAGGCAGCTCCATGTTGAGGACTGGTAGTCCTTCACGTACCACCACATTTGAGCTCAAAATTTCTGTAGCAAGGGGGAAAAATTAGTTAAGTGAATTTTACGACCTTTCTTGCCACTGTTGTCCAGTGAATCACTGCAGTTCTTAAAAGTTAGCAACATGGTTGTTAAGTGAATCTGGCTTCCCTTTTGACTCTGCTTGTCAGAAGTTCGCAGCTGGTGATCACATGACCCCAGGACACCTCAACCGTCATAAATATGAGGCAGTTGCCAAGTGGGCGAATATTGATCACGTGACCATGGAGATGCTGCAGTGGTCGTAAGAGTGAAAAACGGTCACAAGTCACTTACATCAATGCTGTTGTGACTTTGAACAGTCACTGAATGAACTGTTGTATGTTGAGGACAACCTGTACTGGTAGTTCTCGACTTATGACCATTCAGTTAGTGACCATTCAAAATTATGACAGCACTAAAAAAAAATGTACAGGTAGTCCTTGACTTACGTCCACAATTGAGCCCAATACTTCTGTTGCTAAGCGTCACCTTTGTTAAAGTGAGTTTTCCCCCCGTTTTACAATCTTTCTTGGCGTGTTAAGTAAATCACTGCAGTTGTTACGTTAGCGACACGGTTGTTGAATGAATCTGGCTTCCCCATTGTCAGAATTTCACAAAAGGGGTATCATATGACCCCAGGACACTACAACCGTCATAAATGAGTCAACTGCCAAGTGTCTGAATTTTGATCATGAGGCCATGGGGAAGCGGCAATGGTTGTTAAGTGTGAGCCAATCTCATTGTACACATGTTATAATCTGACAATAAAGGTAATAATAATAATAATAATAATAATAATAAGGAAAAAAGGTCATACATCACATTTTTCACTGCCGTTGTAACTTTAAACGGTCACTAAACGAACCGTTGCAAGTCAAGGACTACTTATAATTTTCTGGTCCCAACTGTTGTCATAAGAGTGTCTGTATAACATCACAGAATGAATATGACCAGCAGCGGGATCCTACCTGTTCCACTACTGGCAGCTTTCCCCAGCACCAATCAGCCGAAAGGATAAAGAGGAGAAAAACCCAGGGACAGGTGAGAGGGCAGATCCTGTGCTTTTCTGTCCCTTCTCCTCTCAGCAAGTCTTTTTTTCCTCCTCTCAGTTGATCGTTGAGGCTTTTTTTACTACCGGTTTGATCGAACCGCTCCAAACCAGTAGCGTACCACTACTGAACATGACCCACTTATGACTATCTTATACTAGATTGGTTCCATCAAAATGAAAATGGCCAAAGAGAAAAGAAATATATAAATTACCCATAATTCACCACCTTGGGGAATAAGAACTATTTATACATTCAACTTGCTGGGGTAACACATTTTTTTTCCTTTCTGGGATCCTAATTCAAACTTAATTAAGTAGCCAAAACAACTTGTTGGGAAGAGTATCTTCCTTAGTATAGGTAGCCCTCGACTTACAACAGTTTTGTTTAGTGACTGTTCAAAGTTACAAAGGCACTGAAAAAAGTGACTTTGACTGTTTTTCACTTTACGGCCTTTGTAACATCCCCAGCATCATGTGAGCAAAATGCACGTGTTCCCCTTTTGCGACCTTCTGACAAGCCAGATTCACTTAACAACCATGTGACTATCAACTGCAATGATTCACTTAACAACTGCGGCAAGATAGGTCATACAATGGGGGAAATGCCTCATACTTAACAACATAAATTTGGGGCTCGGTTGTGGTTGTTGGTCGAGGATTACCTGTAGAGGCAAAACGATTAAACACTTAAAGTCTTAAACATACCCTAGCTTCCTCTCATAGAAAACATTTAATAATCTTATCTATACACACGCACGAACTTGCAATTATTTCAAAAACAGACATATGTTCAATGCTGGGCCCAAATTCCTGTTTTCATTTTCCTCAGGAAGTGTCGTTTTTGCCCTCTGACCATTTAAAAACATGACACAATCACTTTTTTCTAGCTTCTAAAAATTTAACCGTGCTGCCTGCACATTTTCAACTATATTTCGTAGGCGTCAAATGATTTTAATACAGAGTTTAGTCATCCGCTGATACATACAGGTAGTCCTTATGACCACGGGACCAGAATTCCTGGGACGAAGCAAGGCAGTTGTTAAACAAGCCACACCCGATTTTATGACCTTTGAGGCGTGGCTTTTAAGTGAGTCTGCTTGGATGAACCCAATTTTACGAGACTCACAGCCATTATTGATAAAAGTTTGAGATACTTGGTTGCTTCAAAACCTACTTAGCCTTGTGGTGGCAAAACTACAACATGCATGTCAAAGATGACACACCAGGATGTTTTGGGTGACATGCCAGTATTCCCCAATATCTGGCAACAATTGTTCTTGAAAGCATGCTCTGTTCTCAAATGATTTTCAGAGGGCTATCCAAGAATGGGTGCTCTCACGTGGCCTCCAGACCCTTCAAAAGTTGCACGAGAGAGCCACGCTCTGGCGTGGACAGATGAACAGAGTTGGAAGGGACCTTGTAGGTCATCAAGTCCAACCCCCCGCCCAAGCAGGAGACCCTACACCATTTCTGACAAATTGCAGTCCAGTCTCTTCTTGAAAGTCTCAAGTGATGAAGCTCCCACAACTTCCGAGGGCAACTTTTGTTCCATGGGTTGACTGTTCTCACTGTCAGAAAATTCTTCCTTATTTCTGGGCTGAATCTCTCCTTGTCCAGTTTCAATCCATTATTCTTTGTCTGGCCTTCAGGTGCTTTGGAAAATAGCTTGACCCCACATTCCTCTCTGTGGCAGCCACTCAAATATTGGAACACTGCTATCCTGTCTCCCTTGGTCCTTCTCTTCACTAGACTAGCCAGGCCCAGTTCCTGCAACAGTTCTTCATATGTTTTAGTCTCCAGTCCTCCGACCCTCCCAAAAAACCATGTGAGAACAGGGTATTTCATGCCCTTTTCAGAAGAGCATTCTCCAAAGCTGCTTCAAGAATGAAGTCCTCACATGAACCGAAGCAGCCTCGGATAGATTGCAGGGGCCTGTCATCAGAAAAAGAAATGCCAACTGAAAGTACAGGTAGTCCTCAACTTACAACAGTTCACTTAGTGACCGTTTGAACTTACGACGACACTGGAAAAAAGTGACTGATGGCCATTTTTCAGACTTATGACCAATGCAGCATCCCCATGGCCACATGATTTACATTCAGATGCTTGACAAAGCAACTCACATTTATGACAACTGCAATGTTGCCCTGGGTTCTGCGACCCCCTTCTGCGACCTTCTGAGAAGCAAAGTTCAATGGGGAAACCTGACTCACTTAACAACCAGCTTATTAATTTAACGACTGCAGCGATTCACTTAACAAATGTGGCCAGAAAAGTCGCAAAAGGCGGCAAAATTCACTTAACAATTTTTTCACTTAACAAATTTTTCACTTAGCAACATAAATTTGGGGCTCAGTTGTGGTTGTAAGTTGAGGACTACTTATAGTAGTGTGTGGCAGATCCTGGGAGCAATCAAGTCATTCCCCACGGCTTGGACTCCTTGGAGATCTGCAAGGGGTAGCCTTTTTGAGTGGTGTTTTCCAAATTTTTGATGCACCAAGCCCCAAATATTCAATATAGGCAGCTTGGCTACATATAATATAAAACAGAAATGATCGTGTTGCTTCAAATTGGTAGAATTCAATATTGCAAACCAGCTACATCTTGAGCAGAGGTGGCATTCAGCAGGTTCTGACCAGTTCTGGAGAACCGGTAGCGGGAATTTTGAGTAGTTTGGAGAACCAGCAAATCCCACCTCTGACTGGCCCCGCCAGCACCATCTATTCTCTGCCTCCCGAGTCCCAGCTGATCGGCTGGGTCTTCTTTGGTTGCCTTGAACAGGAGAACGGAGCTGGAAAGCAGGTTAGTGGAGTGGGGAGGGAAGGGGGATTTTGCAGTAACCTTCCCCCTGGAGTGGGGTGGGAATGGAGATTTTACAGTATCATTCCACTGCCATGCCCAACAAGCCACGCCACGCCCA